CCAAAGACTACTTAACAGCAGGGGGCCGCAGGGAATGTCATAGTTCTGCAGCCAACGAAGACGGCTATGACATTCTGTGATATCGATCCGGGACGCTGGATCGACGTACCTGCCTAATCATGTCTTTCCTTTCCGCGATGGGATGTGGCTAACCCAAGAACCACCTTGCCGATTAATGATTTGGACCTGGTTTCACCTGTTTATCAAGGATGATGGACTCAGGAATTCTACCAGGCGTGTACAACCACATCGTCATTGCAGTTCACTTCCAAAAAATCAACAGTGTGTGTGTGTGTGTCTGTGTCGTTGAGGTTTCAAGCAAGCGAAACGTCAACATCCAAAAGCACGGAGCAACTGTCTCGCCTCTGAAGCTTCCGAACCACAGGAAGGCAATCGCCAGGCGCCACACGCCTGAGCCATGCCCCAGCTCTTGGATTCCCACAGATTCTGAGGCGCCTGAGGGTCACGCTTTGACGCAGGATGCCATGGCCTTAGCTTTACTTTTTCAACGGCTCAAAAATAAGGATGTCCAAGGCTTTCATGTTTGGGATATGACATTCTATGACTGGGTGCCATGTCAATCCATGATCCATTCTGATGCATTCCCCATGTCATGCAGATCTCACGGTGGAAGCTTGGGCCGTGGCTCTCGGCCTGAGCTGACAAGGCAACACGATGATCTCAATGAAATCTCAATGATCTGTGAACTGTAATGTCAACCCTGGATTAATGAACCCCTAGGCTGTTTAATAAACCATGGTTTATGAATCCGGGGTTGACATTATATATCTTGTGCCCCTTGCAGGAGTTGGCCAAATGTGGCTTCTGTGCGGTGAGCCAATGATTGAAATGATCGCATCATTTCGACCTTTGACCCTCGGCTGTGTTAATCTTCTGTTGCGCTGCTGTGCGCCGCTGCGAGCAGAAACCACTAGCAGAAGGACGATCATTATCGTTTTCATATGTTTTCATTATACAGTATCACGAGTATCGCCCCAAATCATTTTGATCAGAAAATCATGGTGCCCTAATTGCAGTGACTAGGAAGCAGTGCACAGTTTTTTGGTGCCATGATGGAGCTTGGCCCCACTAAGTCAACAGTCACTAAGATCTAGGCACAAAGGGCAAGATCCTGAAGATGCTTTCTGCCAGCGGTTGATGCCTTGAGATCGCAGCATGGATTCTGATTTCAGCCTGGTTCTGAGAGGTCACTTGGAACGAATAAAACATATTGGCAGTTGATGAAGAAGATATAAAATATTATATAATTTACCCTCTGGTAAACTAACATAACTATGGAAAATCACCATTTTTCACGGGAAAATCCACTATAAATACCATTTTCAATAGCTACGTTAAATTACCAGAGGGTAATGGCTTCAGATACTGTAAACTTCTTTGAGGTGAAGATTGATAGCGACACCTCTTCTGCCATCCAAAATTCAGGGACTCGCCGCACTCGCCCATATGACATCTTATCCCAACAAGGTCGCGACAGTCATGGTGAAAGTTGTTGCCACATGTGCAGCAAAAGGTCAGCTTGCCTGGACGTGTGGCGTTAAAAGTGATTCCACAGCTCCAAGATGGGTAGTCACAGGCTATGAACAAACGTTGATCAAAGCTAATCTATCTAATTATATATATAATCTATTTACATGTGCATATAGTATATTATATATATAGCTAAATATATTAGTAGTGTTATTATATTATTATTATTAAAATTATTATTATTATCATTATTGTGATGATTACTATTATTATATATTATATATTATAAATTACTATTATATGATTATAGTAGTAATTATTATTATTGATTATTATTATTATTTATTATTATCATTATTATTATTATATATTGCGTCTATTGTCTACATCAATAGTCTTGTATACTGTGCAGCCAGCATCCTCAAAGACCTACCTATGGACGCGAGCCAGGTTCCATTCCCCCCATCTCCGTTCACGGTGCCTGCAGCCTCTTCAGCCTGGGACATTTCCTGGCGTCACTGACGGAAAATCTACAGGTTTTCCATGGGTTTTCCCGTGTTTTCCCAATCAAAACGTGTATAGATCTATGAATTAATAGAGTTTCCCTGTGAAAATTGTCCTTCAAGCATCTTGAGCCGTGGCTCTATCTGGTTGAAGGTTTTGCTCGTGCTACTTACTCATTACTTCCATGTTCAACATCATACCAGCTGCACACTTGGTTCCATACTCATGCGCAACATCGGGCAGCCCCCACTGCGATGGGACCCCAAGGTCTGCATAAAAACCCGGTAACCCGGCAACCCGGGTTGCCCCCAGACACCATGCCTCAAAGCATACAGGACAGTCTTCACCTGCTACAGTATCCCGCTGCTGAAGAACCCACATCAATTTGGTTTCAACACAAGGCACCTGATGGAACCTTGATAAGCAAGTGGCCAAAACAAACCGAGGAAAAATGACTAAATATGAATACGTATTTAAAAAAAGAAAAACAATATAGTTCAAACATTTTGTAATATTCAATATCTATTCTGTATCCTCCAGGCAACGCATCCGCCTTCCAGCTCCTTTCGGTGTCTTCGCTCCTGCGTGACCAGGCTTCATGTCAAATGATGACAAATGGATGTATAACCGCCCTTGAGCTCCCACACACTGGCGCCCTGGCACCGCTTTTTTCCTCTGCCAGCCGCCTGTAAATGCAGTAGCTGCCAAAGCTGTTCCGAGAGTTTGAGAGGCCAAAGGGAACCTGGGATTCTCAAGGATCAGGCATGGGATGGCATGGGCATGTTCCAAGCTTGCAGGGCAATTGTATCCACTATTCCTGGGTCTGCATCAGCTAGGCGGCACTGAACTTCGAAATCTTCGGAAATAATACGGATGGCTTCAACCAGTCCTGAACAAACCCAAAAGATTTGCCAAAGTATAGTATAGGCGGATCAATTGAAATATACTATGGAAGATGTAGAAGACAAACATATTAAAAACTACCACCTGGAGTAGCATTGACCACCATCCTCCTCAGCAAGAGTTAAACAAGAATATGCGCCTCCCATGTTCTGTAAGCTTACCGACAGCCTTCAGTCAGGAAGCGTAGAAGGCACGCCATGGCAATCGCGAAGATTCGGCATCCAAGAAAGGAAGGCAATGCATCTCTTTCCACTGCTTCTCGTCTGGCGGTGCCTCATCACCACCCCTTGTCTCTGGCAGTCTGGGTCAGCTCGACACAAATTGCCGGAGTCCCGGAGGGTGCAGGTCTTTCTGACATTTGAATGCATTTGAGATGATTGCCAAACTGACTGGCTAATATTGGCTACACATTTGGCACATTTTGGCACTACTACAGTACTCCACCAGGATTCCAAAGCATCAAACCATATCAAAGCCAAACAAGGAGATGCTGAATGATGCTGAGCCACCTCTTTTTGGTGCATCAGAGTCAAGTCGGCCAGAAAGCTGCCTCAGACTCACCGCAGGCTGGGGATGGGAGAGGGAACCTGGCCTTCGACTGTTTTGAAGGGAAAACCAGGGAGGGATTCGCAGTTTGTCTGCCCACAATATCCAGCTATAAAATGTCCGCCTTCATGAAGCAAGGTGTGAAAGATTGTAAAAGGGCCGCTGGGTAATACATAAACAGTTTCGTAAACATCACAAGACCATTGCAAATCCAAATAGAATAGGTGGTACCCATGAAAGCCTCTCGAACTTTCCTACCAATATCTACCAATCATATCATAATCCGAAGCACACTCATTCTCCTCATGGTATCGACTTGGCTCCCGAAGATTGCGATCGTTCATGTGTGGCGGCACCTCCCGGCATCCGGCACCCGATGGATCAATGCCTATATTAGTCGGTGCGCATGTCGGCATACCGGCCTCCCATAAGCCACGCGGCCACACACCAAAGGGCCTCCATAGTTAAGAGCCAGCAGTAGAGCCAATGGTGCAGACAGCATTCAGCATGTACAACAACTCAGAGTCTGAGAAACTTCAACTTCCATAGACGGTCAAAAACTATGGTTCAACTATGGTTGTCCATCAACTATAGTTCAAAAACTAGACTTTGACTTTCATAGACGTTCAATGATGTTCAACGGATAGTTCACCTGAGCTGTACATGGCATAAGGCACAGGCTGTGGCAACTGGCCATCAAAGGAGGAGTTCACCCAAAGCAACGGCAAAGTCCCAGCCTCTCGGCTTCAGCCCTCTCTGTTTTGGCTGCATCGCAAACACAGATCTATAATGATCTACATACATAATATTATATATCATATGTACATATGTATATATATATATAACCATGTATATATATATATGTGTGTGTGTGTGCGCGCGTGTGTACACCATCTGCATATATCACTATAATATATAAATATATAATTATATATTATTATTATTGTTATTATATATATTAATTAATTAATTATATACTGTATATTATATCTGTATATCATCTTCGCACGCGTCCAGGCCGGGAAAATTGAACCTGTTCCACCTTCCTCAGCGCGTCTCATCCTAAGCTAAGCCAGCTTTGGGCCCCTGTGAGCAGTGAGGCTTCGACCGCCAGCGAGATTGAGTTGCTGGGACTGCAAGGAGGTTCACTGAATACTTCTCACTACATCAAGGCAAACCGTGACAAACCAACATTTTACTCCAGGCATCAACATCTGAAATGTCTCGTTCTACAACCTCCTCCTCTCTGAGATCAAATTGAAGGTCAGCTACAGTGTAGCCGCAGAAGCGGCACCTAAATTCAGTAGCTGCTGGGTTGTCAAAGTCCCAAGCGAAGTCAAGGCCTGCAGTCAGGGTCATCGTCATCACACAGCTCGCAGCAGCGCTGTCACGCAAATGTGGCAAACCCAATGATGACCTCGATGCCATTTACATCCATCTACCAACTTTTGCATAGTTTTACTATTTAGAGGCTAAGAGAAACACATCCAACAAAATGCCTGATGCTTGGGAGTCCACAATGATGATCTTTGTCTGCACATTTAACAACCTGATGTTTACTGGGGAATCCAACAGCTGTGCCGGACCTCTGCCGCCTCTGGCGCTGTGGCTGAGCAGCCTGCAGAAAGGTATACCAAAAGCGTCTGAAAATTTGGCCCTGCTTAAGTTGTTTTCCATGGGAATATGATAAGCCATATGAAAAGCACTGGATTTTACTTGATTTTACATGAGTTTACCGAATTTTACCCAACAATTGGTGCAAACCCATGTATTGCATTGTGCATGTTGTGCCAATGCAGCACCTGTCCAAAAAGTCCAAAACCCTCAGCAAATGAGGACGCGAAGCTAGACCGCAGCCTGCCACAAGTCCACGTTCCTGTGCCCAGTGCAACCATGGTCCCCAGCCATTCTGGTCATGGGACAAAGTCTCGAAACAGCCAACCACCACCTGGGGCCCAACGTCAGTTGGATTGACAACAAGTTTGCACTACTTACTTCAACATACGATAACTACCATGCACGCGCTTACCAAACCTCAAAAGACATACGCTAACATAAGCTGGATATAGAGTTACAACAACACACATAGGGAATCATAGGGAGCTCCTGCATGTACTAGTTACTAGTAGAGTTTGTTTATGTTTGTTTAAGGATTTGGGAAAATCCACACAATTCACACCATTCATCAGGCCGGACGAGATGCTAAGCCCCTCTTGGCGCGGGTCAGGGTGACGTTCAGTCGCCGAGGATCACCCACGAAGCCTACGCTGCCTCTGGAGTTGGCCCGCACGGTGCTTACGATGATCACATCCTCCAGGGATTTGGGAATCAGCAAGATTCATAATAAGACAAGGACGTTTCACGGTAATCCTTGACGTTTCATGTGGTTTGGAAAATATGTATCAGATATAAATTCATTTCATACAAAGCATAGTATCAAAGCATGGTAACCATTGTTGACACTTCCTTATGGTGCTTCATCACAATGTTGAGCTCCTTGTGATGAGGGAAGTATCAAAAGATTCAATAGCAGCCTGGAAAAGCCACAACTCATTGCCTTTTCCACTCTTCAAACTTGCATCTCATCAACTTCCTATTTTCAATATGGAAAGATTTTGATTACCCTCTGGTAAATTAACATAGACCCTGGCAGATAGGGGTTGGAAGACTAGTTTCCATTAAAAATTGGTGATTTTCAGGGTCTATGTTTATTTACCATAGGGTAGATTATAGAAATTCATCATGATTCATATATATGTCATATCTTAATCATCACTTAGATCAACCTTAGATCAGTCGCAGCCCTTGGATCCCAGCTGTCCCAGCTGTCCCAGCTGTCCTTCTCTCGACCTTGGAAGCCATCCACGCTGCTCACCTCCACGGTCATCCCGCCCGTGCCGCGTTTGCCCGGCGCAGGGCAGCCAAGTGTTCGCCGCAGCAAGCGGGCTTGGGCCGCGTAGGGCGTGATGATGCCAACCTCCTGGGGTGAAAAGGTTGGTGTAACACAGCAAATTCGGCAAATTTGAATTGAAACTGCCACTTTGAGACTGTTTCTATGTTTTTTTTTTTAATGGGGGAGATGATGCATATCAGGTGAAATGTCATTGCTATATCGTTGATATTATTATTACTTCATCTTTTATTAAAAAATAAGTATGTTCCGATGAGAAACCATGGGACTTGGGGGTGCCCTTGGTTCGGACTTCACGGTGATCAAGAATCATTACAGCATGTGAAATATGACAGTTTATGATCATCATGATTGGTGTGGTGATGGTGATGATGATGCAATGATGATGGTGGTGATAATGATAATGTTGTTGGTGGTGGTGGTGATGATGATGATGATCATCATCATCATGATCATGGTCATGGTCATGGCCATGGTCATGGTCATGGTGGTGGTGACGATGATGGTGACGATGGTGATGATGGTGAAGATGGTGATGATGGTGATGATGGTGATGATGGTGATGATGGTGATGGTGGTGCTGGTGATGATGCTGATGGTGGTGATGGTGATGGTGATGGTGATGATGATGATGATGATGATGATGATGATGATGATAACGACGAAAGCGATGACCATGACCACGATCATCGCAAGCACACCATCAATAGGACCATGAGGTTTATATGAGGTTTAAATGTGCTGCGCCATGCTGCGCTCCGGCGTCCTCTTGACTGATGTCATCCCACGCACATAGGCTCCTTGGATATTGATATATCATGATGCATCGACGGTCAGCTGGTGACATTGCTTTTTTCAAGACCAAATTGGCTGCCTCGGCTTCCTCACAGTGGTTGCTCTCCTTCACGATACAATGAGCTATACAAGTACCATGGGATTAAAAATTGTAATTATGAATGTTCCTGAAGGAAGAAAAAACGTCCCTTGTGGTGCCTTCATTCAAGCACTTGTCAGCCACAAGGCAATCCCTCAACATAGGACCGGATGTCTTTGACACTTCCGCAAGCCATTGAGTCAACCACCAAAGAACCACCACAGCCCACAGCCATTCTTGCAATACTGGCAAGGCACTTCAGCAGCTCTTGCACAGCTTCAACCTCTGATTTGTTACTCCAAGAGGTGCCTGGAGAAATCTGGAGATCTTTCAGAAAGGGATGGTTTGGTGATCGTGGATGTTTGCACCTTAGATACACAGAATATGTTTCCATCAACAGGAAATGGTTGTGAAGCTCTCTGCACTATCATCCCAAATGGAAGAATGAAGACGTTCTAAGACACTTTCTGGTACTTAGATGTCTTCATTCCTTTCCCATCATACATGAATCACGCTGGTTCTGAAGATTTTGCTTGCATACATTTGTGTACCGTTTCTCTTTTGCATGCTCCTACATGTCGACAAATGATTATGCGCATGACTGGTAGCAGTTGATACTTACCTGTGAGGAGCCCGAATTCTTGCCAAAGCCTGTAATGGTCCCCGCAAGCTGACAAGCTGTACTTTCTGAGAAATATATGAATGTATAGAAACTGCGTGTATCTACGTACATTGACTGTGTATCCCTGTCATGTCATACACATATGCGGACATAATCGTTTACTCACTCATCACAATCGCCAAACCGCAAAATAAAACACAAAGAAACGAACATGAAGGAATAATGTAATTAGACAGTATAAATTATATATACGTATAATTACGTGTATATATATATTATATATATATGTGTGTATGTGTGTGTGTGCACATCGTATACAAATATGACTCAAAAAGAAAGGTAAATGACAGCAAACAACATACCTTTTTGCAGCATTCAGCTGGACCATGCTGGACCATACCACACGACAGTACCCCGGGATATCCCGGGATTGATTTATTTGTTGACCACCCCAGGCCCCACCGTTCTCCTTCAGAAAGCTCTTGACCGGCCACTGGTAGGAAGGTCACCGGAACTTCCGGGGCAGGCCATGCGATCCCCTGCGGCGGTCTTCGTGAGGCGCCAGCAATGCCAGAACGGATCTGCCCGTCATAGTACCTCAAACCAAAGGAGCTGTTGCAATGGAAAATGGCCATAGAAATAGTGGATTTTCCCATTAAGAATGGTGATTTTCCATTGCTATGTTAGTTCACCAGAGGGTATTCAGAGAAAAATGATTGATTTCTTTATGAATCATATTTATCAATGGATTAATATGGATTAATTATGAATGCGGATGCTTTTGACTGCCTCCTTCTTCAAATGCATCCGCATACTGCGTCCTGCTTTGGGACAAATGTCTCAGACGGGGCATCTGAATCGTCATGCGCATCATGTCCCTGCGATCCACAGCCAAGGCACATGGAAGAAGGAAAGGCAGAGATGCATGGATGCATCCGATATTGGATGTTCAGCAGATAAGGTTGAACTCCCTGCCCCGCCATGCGTTCGAACAGGGAAGTGCCGAAACCTTCCACGTCCACCTGGACGTTGCTGATGGTTGGAGGCAGCTGCCGGTGATCACCCACCAGGGTCACACAAGCTTCAGGTTTCATTTTCATCAAGGGCACCAAGGAGGACAGTTCGGTAGCCTGAGCTGCCTCATCCAATAACACCCGCACAAAGGTCATGTGTTGGATCAATGGATGATCTGCGCCCGAACAGGTGCTACACACCACATCAGCTTCGCTGAGGATCTGCTTCTGTCGGCCAAACTGCGTCTTGGGATCCATTCCCTTCCTGGTCAGGTGGACAGAAGACCGTGCCCAAACGTGGGAGGATGATGGGATGATGAAGGATGTTGGAGGTCCCAGGAAACGCCAAACGTGCGGGGAGGTGAACATGTGCGCAATGCATCATGTCTGCGAGTATGAGGCTGGATGTCTGGAGTGAATGTAACTTATGTAACATGATGTAACGATGTTCGACGCAAATTTGCACAATGTCTAAGTCCAAGTTCAAACCTGAGTCCCACATCGTATCTTTATCATCTGTTTTTGATTGTTTATGACATGTTTATGACATGTTTATCATATGTTCTCATCTCTTATCATCTTTACGGGGACAATACGGTACTGGACATTATGGTGGATGATGGGGCCTATGGGCCTATTCCTGTCGAGCTTCACCATTTCCAGCAAGTTGTATTGCTCCAAGTCCATTCGAGTGGCCTCGGGTCTTCCCACTCTGACCACATGCAGACGGGCCTTGGCACAGCCGTCCACCAGGTTGTCCACAGCGATGTTGCTATCTGCCGCACACAGCACGGGGCGCTTGTTGGAAAAGACCCAGGCACGCACCAGCAGTAGAGCTGTGGTGGTCTTACCTGGTGCCATGATGGAACATGACTCATGATACGGGAATTCAGATATATCAATGATATAGTTGGAAAATTGAGTGTCCGGTTTGCCGCAAGTGCTTGGATGAAGCAACCTCTCCTCCCATAAATCATGCACTTCACGAACTCAATCTATCAAGTATGCCAGATGAAATGGCACGGTACTGAGTGATAAAAGACATGCTTTAGGAATAGCAATTGGTTCAGAAACCACTAATAACCACTATATTTTCATATATTTTCGAAAATGATCAAAAATAGCTTATCGGAAAAACACCTTGGCTGTATGCTTTAAGTGTAAAGTAGCAGTTCTTGCTTACTGCATTGGATCTTCCTAGACTCTCCCCATTTTGCCCAGTGCCTGTTCCTGGTGGCCCCTGGATCAGAGTCAACTGTCGCCCACAGGCTGAGAGTAAGGCATGACGTTGCGACTCATTGGCTTCGAGCAACAGTGGGTTGTGAGGGGATAAGGAAAAGGCCACTTCTTCCGCAGCGAGGTCTGGTTCTTTCCCGGCATGCGGGGAATCTGCACACAGCAGGAGATTCTTGACCTGTGCTGACTTTACGGCAATGGCTGGATTGCCAGCTGAATGCATGCTCAAAGCCATTGAGCATATTGAATATATTGAGCTTAGATAGACTTAGATTCGGTCAGCAATGAAAACAAATTAGTGCTGTCATGATATGTCATGTGTCATGAAGCAAACCATAGCAACACAATAATAACAAATAACTATGAAGCAGAAAAAAAACACATTAAACAATGAACAATCTGCTAACATGCTTTGAAGGGCAAATCAATTTGTTTCCAAAGGATCAATTAATATGATTAATTAGTCACCTCAACTTCCAATCTGCATAAATCTTTACAAGAAGCTGAGCCTAGCTGCCCAGGCTGCTTCCTGATTGTCCTTCTCATTGTTGGCTTGGCGCATGGCGTGGGCAATGAGATGAGCATTCCATTGCTTCCCAGGATCAACGCTGCAGACCTTCTGCAACGCATCCAGTTGACGACTCAACGTCACATGGTTCGCAATTTTGTCCATGCGACAGGTCTTGTCTTTCAACTTGGCTGCCACGCCCTGCACGCGCAAGTCACAATCATGTATTTTGTGCAGGTGTTCTTGGATGATATTTGGGAACTACAATCTGTTTCACATCCCCGATTGAGGGAGAAAAGAAGAAACTGAAGAAACCGCAGAGCCTATCTGAAATCGTTCCTTCTTTTTGTCTTGGGACATCGAGGAAAGAAGAGAAACATCCAGATCAAATCAGAATCGAGTCTCATCCACTGCTTCGCCCATGATCCTCACTTCGAAAGAGACTTCAGGAAGCGAATTGGTAGACTGAATTTCGGCTTCGGCACAAATTCCCGCACTGACACCAGTCACACCCATATGTTGTGGGTGACCCCAGTGGTTGTTCGCAACTTCACTCGGACGGGATGTATGGGGAAAGGTGAGCAAGATCCAATCGCCACGCTGGAAGCTGCAATTTGTGCTGGGAACTGCTGGTTTCCTCAATGAATTTAGGGAACAAAACCAATGCGGCATAATGCAACACAGCCAGCCCGAAGCAAATGCAGACTACAATCCACGAATCCACAGAAGCTGGGGAGCTTATCCCCGCCACTCCCACCATCCCCACCAGTAAAGGCAGTGGGCATTAGCCCTATGATAAACCATTTTAAATCATAAACCCAATTCTTTCCAGGCGCATTTATTCACAGCAAAAATACTTCCGAACCTAGGTTCTCTACTCTTTCTCTCCATTGCCATCTCCAGGAGTCTAAAGATTCTAAAGGCCAAAGGCCATCGTCAGAAGATGATGGTATCTGGTTTATGGTCATCCATCCCACATTCGAAGGAAGCCATGGATTTTCCCAAGAAATACGGGGAGGTTCCGGCAAATTTTCCCTAAACCAATCCAGTGATTTATGGGGAAGCCATGTCTTGACCATGGCACGCTACGAGCTGTGATGCCTTGGATCCTGGCGACAGAAGCACCTGCAAGCAGCTGCCATTCCTTTCCAGCACATGTCCTGGTCACAACCAGGGCGCCACTGCGGGACGGGACAAACCCACCAGGCTGAAAAATCTTAGTTACAGATAGTGGCACCGAGCAACAGAATTAACAGAATTGGACATGATCAAAAATGAAGGACAGTAAACATGTCGTCATTTTAGACATGGTGTTCATAATATGTGAGAGTGTGATTCCAAAGCATTGTGCAAAATTATGCATGCACCATTTCACTGCGCATTCCATTTGTTAAGAAAATTTAAGACTAAGCCACTAAGCACTGTGAAAGCATGCACCCCAAAAAAAAAAACATCGAAGTCGAAACCGGTAAAAAAAAACTAATTCATGGTGTCCTATCTTCACCCCTAATTGGAGATGGGTCAAACATCCACTTAATTTCCAGCTATGGAGATATTAGAAATACCCTCTCATCACCGATCAAGCTCTCACCTTCATCTATTCGCCAAAATCATAACTCATAATTCACCATACCATCACCAGGTTCACAGAGATATATTTTTTCAGCACGTCCTGGCACGTTCTTGGCCAGGTCCACGGTGCTTTTGGACTCCGCCAGGAACTCCCTCAGCGCCCATCGCACGAAGCGGCCGAAGTACTTCTGCCCCGCCGCCGAAGGCGCCTCCACCAGATCCAGCGCCTCCAGCGCGTCGAAGAAGTCACGGCAAGCTGCTTCGCTGGTGCCTCAACGGTGGGTTCAAAAATGGCAAAAACATGGGAAAAATCTGGGAAAAATTGGAAAGTGTGGTTATTGTTTTTTCAAAATCATCAAAATCCAATAAAGATCAATATCGAAATGATGGAATTACGTAAAATTGATGATGGGATATGGGATTATATATAGATGGCATGGATGGGAATATGGTGGGTACATGTGGGTACCCTTCAAGTTCTGCAGGCCATACCCAAAGAATACAATATCAATCAATATCAGTGTCAGGCATGTCTGGATGGAAACCCGTGGGTTGGCACGTGTTTGTACAGTCTCTTGGTGTCTGGATCGGGGTTACACGCAGCAAACTACCAGCAGAGTTTGGAAGAATGAGAAATTGTGAGAAGTTCGTTTCCCAGCGAAAGAACCATAAGAACCCAAGGAAACGAAAAAAAGGAATACAACTAGGTCTCACGAAATGCTTCAAGCGACGCATACCGATGGAGTCGGCGAGTTTGGCGATTTGTTTCAGGTTCATGAACTGATTTGTCTTGACCATTTCCTGCAATTTCTGCACAGCATCTTGCAGTTTATTCGCCCGCAAGAGTTCCACCATCTTGCCCGTGATCACCTGAGGCATCCACAAGACATCTTTATACTTGACATTGAGGGAAAAAAATAAAGGTGCTAAATGTGGAAGTGTGCCTGAACAAGCACCTCGCAGCGGTGAACCGTGTTGACTGGTATAGCAGGGGTCCAGATCTTGAAACTGAGGGAGATTAAGTGTGCATTGACGGTCCCCTTATTTTTGACTTATTTGCAGAATGTTGACTCAAAACCATGGGTATTTACAGTGTTGTTTGCCTCGATGGTGCAAAAAACACAAATACATTGCAAATACTGGTGCCGTGGTGTTGGATGTGTTTGGCATCTGGCAAGCCAGTCGACGCCCGGCCCTTGCAGCATCGCTGGTATGCGAAGCATTGCGAAGCTCCACAATAACTAAAACATACTAAAACCCCCCAAATGTCCACATTTTTCTGCTTATCAGCCTATTATCAGCACCCCAAAAATCACCCAGATCCGGAAGTTTGCTGAGTTGCGTCACTGCACTGCATCCGTTTCGCTGGCACCCGTCCCACTGGCACTGGCCCTGGACTCACAGGACGGGCATGGCCGTGTCGCTTAGCGGCGCTGCCGCTGGGTGCGGATGCCTTCCGCTTCTTCTGTTGGATCTTGGGCGGCGTCTGCATGAGGCCATGGTTCCTCAGGGCCACAGCGACATACAGGTAGAGTGACATAGGGCAACTGGATGTTCTTTCATGTTCTTTCCAATCTTTCCACGAAAATGAGGAAAGTTCCGAAGGGTCTTGGGGCATATGAGCAGCGGACAAAATTATATGTCAAATTAAATTTGATGCCATGCACAAATTAGGGTCGTCCCCTATCGGTTGTGAGGATTTCAGTATTCCCGGAGGTATCACAAATGGGGTATCGGTATAGGGTCGTCCCCTATCGGTTATGAAGGTTTTGTGCAACCTCGGAAAGGCCAAGGCGAAGCAAAACTAAATTAGTATTGCACTAATTTTGTCGGTTACTCGTATGAATATGGCAAGTTGCTGACTCAGGCTATAGATAGCAGCACAACTATGTAACCAAATGAACTATCATGAAGATACGGTGTACAGTGCTGTAGTTATACCATCCTTCTTTACACCAGTCAAGTTGCTGCAAGATCTGAACATAGTCAGCCGTGGCCTTCGTCTTGGCATCTTGCTTGGTGCTGCCGAGCCCTTCCTAAAGTGACCGCTGATGACTGCTGTGAAAAAACCAACAAATAATGCACACAACAAACATCAAGATCATCAAGCCTTGCAGGCACATCCTGTGCGGGCTGAGCCACCAACCACCGGCCCGATCCGGACCCCCCCATGGCCACCCAGGTGCCGTTCGGATGGCAATGCCGGGCACAGAGATGCTGCAACTGACCGAGCGGTTCTCCGTGCCAAACCTCATGGATTTGTGTACGGTGCAGCCAACTGGCCAAGTGCTTGTCAATCATTGTACAGTAAATCCTTCCTAGCCCAGGACAACGAATTTTGAATATTGCATGTGATCATTGCGTATATCATCGTATATCTATGCAATCATGGAGAAACATTGAAGATGCTGCTAAATCTGCTAAGCAGAGGAGACCAATGAAATGGGTTGAAGTGGTACGTCCGTGCGGCAGGGCATTGACAGCTTCATTTACCAGAAACATCCAGAAACAACGAAAAGCTACTCACAGCTGTCAGATACGAGTCGGCCAGCAGGATCAGCAGGAGACACTGAAGTTGAGCTAAGCCACGTAATGGACGGTGCCACCCCTCGCAACTGGCAGAATCGATTGAAGACATCTGCAGGAGTTCCGCTCATGGCATGGACGGCCCATGTAGGACTTTTAACCCATGCCACCCGAGGCAGCGAGCATCAGGAATCGGGCTTCTGTGACAGCCGCTCTAGGGTCCAGCCTTTGTTGGTAGTTCATGGAACCTGTGGTCTTTCTGAGCTGTTCAGCCACAGGCTTTATTTTGTACGAGTACGTATTAAGTTGAGGGTTGCACTGTTGTACTATTTTGTACTTTGGAATTCTCAAAGCTGACATTTTTTGGCTGGATTGGAAGACTTAGTTCTGGCAAGTGCTTTCCCCTACAATCATCCTGAATTTCCTGAATCATCTCAATGCTAATGAAGCAGCTGCAGGTGAGGGAAAGCAGGATTGTTCATCAACAAACAGGCATATTCGCTGTCTCAAGCGTCCATTCGAATGGTGTCCAGCCAAACGGATCGTGTTGCAAAAAAGGGCTGAAGGTCAGCTGTGATTCAGCTGTGCCTGCATCTCTGGAAGGAAGAAACTCGATGGAAAGCGGTACCACTCCTCTTACGGCAGAGTAGCAAGCTTTCGTCCCATTCTCAACATTTCTCAACTATGTTCAACTGAGAAGACAAACCCGTTTTTATCAGTTCAGGCACCAGGAAACTCACCCACGTAGTTTAGTTGACGTCCCTCTTCAAGAGTAAATCCCACAAGCCTTCCCTATACATAGGCTGGAGGACTCAAAGGAGCTGGACGAATTGGAGTAGTAGAAATCTTCCTGAGGAGGAATGGGAAACATATCCGCCAACACTTCGACCAAAGAATAGAGAAGCATGAAAAGGTGAACAGGCATGTGCGGCTTCAAACGCTGCAGGCACCCATGCTGCCACAGCACTGATGCATCATGTATCGGAATCAGAAGAAGAAGAGAGGAGGAAGAGGGAGAAGAAGAAGAAGAAGAAAAAGAGGAGGAGGAAGAGGAAGAGGAAGAAGAAGAAGAAGAAGAAGAAAATGATGATGAACATGATGATGATGATGATGATCATGATCATGATCATGATCATGATGATGATGATGATGATGACGATGATGACGATGATGACGATGATGATGATGATGATGATGATGATGACGATGATGATGATGATGATGATGAAGAACAGAAATAAGGTCAAGAATCAAGAAACAAAATCATGACTTTCAAAGAACGAGAATGCCTAGAGTAGATGAGTAGACATGAGTAGACAATACGACAGAATAAAATGCCAGTTTTCATCTGAGTCCACTTTGTCTGGGTGTGGACCACTGGAACCTCTGAACATGGCCAGGCATCATAGATCCGCAAAGGTGCCTTGAAGTGATGGTACAGGGCGGCGTTCCGCGACAAGGATATGCACCAAAAGCAGGCCACGACAACAAGGGCTCCAAAGGTTGCCTGAGCTCACGAAAATACAATTCAAACTCAATCCTAACAGAAACGAACCAAGAGCTGCCACTTCTGCTGATGACTAAGTTGAACCATGGTGACTGTGCTTTTAGTTTGCTAGGGTCTTTGCACAATCTTTGCACTATCGTGGGTTGCATCCACCTTTGGCACATCAGAGTTGGTACCACCCTGCCAAAAGATCTGGCATCTGTCCAGCACGGAAGTTGTTTGCACGCTGGGCATGTGCAAAAGGTGTGGGAAGAACGAGCCCCAAGCGGATGAAAACACAAACCTGGATTGGAAGAGCTTGATTCAGGATTGCCCAGGCATCTTGAACTCGGCAAGCTTGTTGAGCAAGAGTTTATCTTTCCCAAGCTGCAACTGGAAACGTGTATGTTCAAACTCTTACGACTCTTAGAAAAGACACCAATGAATATTTTTTGCCAGGAGTGTGCGCAAAATCCTTCAAATCGTTCCCTCGCAATAAAACGTAAGAAGCTGCCAGCCAAGACACTATAGCCGATCTTGAGCCAACCTTAATGCATTGATTTCAGCGTCTTCTGCTGCCAGGACATGGACAATAACTTGACCGGAGGAGCATGCAAGAAGAGCTTGACTGCAACACAGTGGTAAGTCCTAACCATTCCTAACCACTACCGTAACCACTAACATCGCTCGCATCACTAACCCCAGGACCGCTGCCATGGCACAGTTCGTTGGAGGATCCAATCCAAGGTGACAGCCTTGGCCATCCATTCAGCTGATGTCGGTGGCGTCTGCATGCGTCTGCCATATTCGTTTCATAAATGTTCTCCAAGCCGCTGCAGCCAAACAAATGTGGGGGTAGGTCATCGTCAGGAATCCTGAGCCGATCCCAGCTGCTGCCATGCACAGCATCCCTATGCATCCCTTTCCATTGAGGCTGCCACGCTCCTCTTTGTGCGCCATCTTGAAGAATAAGGCCTCAGCCCACTCAGAGCAGCCATGAGCAGCCCAAGGCCGAAGGGATCCGAAGGGTGCGAATGCCCCCGTCTGACAATAAAAAAACATCACCAGCAACACCCAGGTGCTATGGCCGTTAGCGTTAAGCCCACAATAAGTAACTTCAAATGTTCATAATTTTCTCCATGGACCTCACATGCACCTGCTGATTCATGCCCCCGCGACCTTTCCCATGCTCTCCAAGATGCCAAAGTCACATACATCGGCGTGAGCGCCAGAAACAAACGCCAGCGTTTCCATGTGAGTGCCAGCGATGGCACAGCCATCAAAGCTACAATGTTGAAATTCAGCACAAGGTTCCTGGCGTTTGTTTAGATGAGGCAGTGATGCTGGAAGAAGGGATCAGTCAAGATTCCCAATCAGCCTGAAACCGAAAACAATATCTTATATCTTTATATCTGGGAAATGAATGGAAATGAAAGATGAAAGACCCCCCCACTTGGCCCAGGGATGCGCAAAGGAGCCAACATAATATTGATCAACATGGCCTCCACAATCCTAGACCCCTCTGCTGTTTACCGATGATCAGCCGCCCAGCCCAGAGTCTTCGCATAGAAGGTCCATGGCTCGGTCCCATAGAGGTCAGCACCAGCCCCACCGCCACCAACACCGAAGTTGTACAGCAAGTGATTTCCCATCCTCAAACCGCCACTGGAACGCAGACAAGAAACCCAAGAAGCAATGGCCTGGCGGTGATCTTACAGTTTTGGTATAGAAATGCGGTGGAATCGCATGCCCACAATCGTTGAGAGATGGTTGCATTTCTGTACCTCGATGCAAGTAGTAGAAACCAATCGATTTAGACGTTGCTTCTGCTCCACAAGTTGACGCCATCTTGTTCACCACTCATGTGCCTTGCGCTGCCAAATCTGATTTGTCATAAATCTAGCTCCCTCAATCATGTCAGCCCAGATCAGCCCAGATCGGTTTTCAGCATGCTTTGGCCGAAGTGCGCCCATAGGGGCCGCTTGGTGCCATAGTAGCCTCAGTGTGATCCCGGGTGACACTGTCAGCAGACCCGATGGATGCAGCTCATCACACTTCGTTGTGCGAATACATGACGGATGCAGGGAGCCGGGTGAAACGTAACTGGATCTTTGCACATGTACTGCAAACATATATATATATATATACATATATCATCAATTATCATCATATATCTTGAAAAAAATAAAAATATAGTAACATAGTGCTAGCAAACGTGTTGCTGTGTAGCTCCGGTGCGTGTCTGTTTTTTGGGTGTCCATCCATGTCCATCCGTTCCAAGTGTTCCAAGTCACCCCAGTCGAGCAAAGAGGGAAGCAGGGCAAAAGCCACCAGGGCCGTAAGCGCAACTGCCACTACTCCTTGCAACTGTGGGATCAACGACTGGGTGATGGTGTGGCATGGTGTGGCATGGTGTGGCCATGCCCCTTGTTGTTGATGCCCCCTCTCTAATTACAACAAATATGATCACTTTACCAGGCCACTAGGCTTCATGGCAAGGTGCTGACGAAGCCCAGGTTGTCTGGATGCAAAGCAGCCACGCCCATTGGGACAAACATCCTTAGTTGCAAGGACTTCCTACGGTTCTGTGATGCTGAGAGTTGCCAGCTAGAATAGGCTTGGGACAAATCTGAGCTGCAGGTCCCCAGTTCTAGTGTTGCAGTTTGCACTGCCAAAAAACTCCAGCTCAGCTGGAAGCAGGCAAGAGTACGCGGGATTTGGCACCAAAACAGCTAAGTGGAAACAGTGAAAACAACGTATCTAAGTTTGGTTTTCAAATAAGAGCTCCCAGTGGCTGGCACGTGAGAAGGTAGCTTGCAGTAAGGCTCTCAACAAAACCCGTGGTAAGTTCGACCGGCGAGAAGAGTGAATGAACCACATGCAAATGCTAGTTTTGAAAGAAGAAACGTCACTTGCACCCGAACTGGCTTGGAATTTGAGCCCAGACAACGGCCACCGCAACCCAAGGGTATGCGCATAGAGAGAGAGAGATATATATATATATATATTATGTAAAGATATGATATACACAACCATCTATATTGTTACATATTGTACTTGTCAGGAAACATTACAGTATGTTACAGCTATCTTTCACCAAAGTGACACGCCACCACCAGTTCCCGTGCACGTCCAAACATGTCTTCCAAGTCTCGGCACCGCGACGGCCATAGCCATGAGGACCGCGAAGGACCTATGGAGAACTGGAGAACTGTGATTCACTGGGATCTCTCCTAAGCCCAACATGATCAATACGCAGGAAAAAGCCTGGTCTTTCAACCCACGTGTGTGTCATGTATCTGTCCTGTGCAGCGTGGAAATCTACCAGGTGGTCCCTTTGATTTCATTAAAATTCTTGCCATGGTAAGTTGGAAATGTGTTTTGTCCAAGAGTCCGCTATGCACAAAATCCATTGGCTAATCATAGGTTCCAAACCAGACTTCAGAATATTGCAAAATCATGCAAAATCATAATCATCATATATCGTTGGTTGGTTAGTGATAGCTATAAGTTATATAATGTCTCAATATGTCTCAATCATATATGTATAGAAAATGTCTATTCATATCTCTGCTGTACGTCCCCACCCTATTCAAGGCCATTTTAGCCATGTTCACCCAAAGCCGAGTCGAGCTACCCGCACAGAAGTCCAAGCGCCCATGACCCTCGCAACCATGCACCGAAGCCCAAAAGCACAGCATACCTCGGGTATCTCACTTTGGGCGGGAAAATCCAATGATTTTCATTGACTTTCCATGTGGTGTTCTGGGGGATACCATATGATACCATGGGATACCTATGCTTTTCCATGTGTTTTCTGGGGATGGACCTAACTGTTTTGGTGGTTTGGCCAGGGCAGCGTATTGATCCATAGCCCGCTTGTGTTTTCCTTCGGACTAGGCTTTTTACGAATCTGGGCATTTTCACACGCATGCCTTTTCTCAGCGATGCCCAGGTGATCAGGTGATAGAAGCAGCTAACGGAGTGCAAACAGCGCTGGAAGCACTCCGGCATAATGACAACAATGTTGATGCATGATGACAACATGCAGCCCTCTCCACGACAATAGGGGCAAGGGCCATGGCACTGTTATCTTAAAACTTGGCAAGTCGCAGATAAAATCAAGCTGAGTCGGCAGACTTCAGCAAGACCATCTTTCCTTAGGCGGATCCCATACCGTTCACTAAGCGTTTTTTTGCGATTCTCACGGCATCGTCGACACTCAAAACCTCCTCTGTCTGGAAGTGCAGTTCTGCGTGATTTGTGGCGAACCTGACGGCCAGTTGCGGCAAAGAAAGAACTTCACCAAAAGAAACAAAACGAGAAGCAAGACAAAGACATGAGGAAGAAATCCTTGACCAATGTTTAAAGGAAAATGGCTAAGCAAAAACCGACAAGTTGTCACATATGATATGATATATTGATGAATTTGGGCATGCGTCTAGTCTAGTCTTACAAAAGTTATATGGACTCAAAACATCTCAAAGCAATGCAAAGAAGTTGAACATGTTTGATACCGATTGAATACTTTTTTCTGATTGAATACTTCCTGTTGTCAAACACTGCCTCGAAACACGCTTTTTTGGATCCAAATTTGGAAGCGCCAAACAGACGTAGCCTGATTGCTCAACATTTCTCAACTCCCTGCCAGGCAACTGTTGTAAAAGCTCATGTCCCAGCTGTTCCCTCAGCAGTTCCAGCACCATGGAGTTGGCTTCAGCCACCAGGCAGTGTAGATCTTTGCTACGCCACTCGCTGAGGAGACCACGCAACATGTTGAGAGCTGAATAGTCAACGCTAGGCACCGCACCCATACCTGGCACCAGTGTCGTTGCTGGTTGCTATCATCTGACATCAGCCCGTATTCCGTACAAAATCGGATATTTAAAACATTATATTTATATCAAATGACATTATATAAGTCATATCATATGATCATATCAAAATCAAATCTAACTTTTTTGTCGCATAGGTGCAAAGAATAATGAATTTCACCTTGACCTCTGCTTGGAGACGTTTACGCTCCACCTCCTCCTCGAACCATTCAGCGCTGGCAAAGACCAATGGGCCGCGGAACTCAAAAACCAACACGCCTGGTACAGAAGCTGCTTCTGGCCAAACCTCCACATCATGCCACTGTTTGAGCCTTGGCACCTCCCCAAGCGTTACGGCCTTGGGCATCCGCAGATATCACAGATGTGACATGCTTCCCAAGATGGCCGTTATCTGACTATGACTATGATTTTTGAATGGTGATATATTTCACAATGAAATCGAGTTTGCTTAAGTCTTAAGCATACTAGACTACAATTGGTGGATTCCAAACATGGAGACCAAAAGATACCAAAAGTGAACATACCATTGACAAACACACCAGTCACTAGTCAAAAAATGTCACAAGTAGGGCACAAACACCAGCTTGATATGTTTTTGGACCATGACAGCCTTGGGGGTGGCAGCTTCTGCCACCACTTGCGCGATGGCCACCAAGACCGACAGCACGATTCCATAGAGCGCTCCCGCCAGAATGGTGCACAAAAATCCCACCATCCAAACCAAAAGGTCCTTTCGGAAGCTACTTCGAAAACTTTGTGGTGCACTTTGCCATAGTTTTTTGGGCATTTGAAAATCCATGAGCCCCTCAGCAGAGACCATCACAATGGCTGCAAGGGATGCCTTTGGCAAATCCTCCAGGGCTGGAGCCAGGAAGATCAGCCCTGCTGCCACCGTGGCAGCGGTGCAAATGCCGCAGATCTGGGACTTCACCCCCAGCTGCACCGCCAAACCGGTTCGACTCAGAGAGCCACTGGGGGGGAAAGCTCCAAAAAATGATCCCAAAACACCAGCTGCTCCAAGGGCATAAAGTTCTTGTCGTGCATCGAGGTTGTAATCACACACCAGGGCCTGCTTTTTGAAACTGGAGTAGGAGGTGAGGAAGGTGGAAAATGCTACAATGACCTGAGCTGCTTCGGCGCCTGCTGAATAAACGTCAAGGAAATTCGAAAAAAATATCCGTCTAGAGTCTAGAGTATAATATATAGAAATACTCTCAAATCTCTCAATCCTTCTGAAATATTCATTGGGTTTCATTGGCCCTTTGCCCACCGGTGGCATGGCATGGCCATGTTGGGAACAAGTCACACCACTGAGGAGGAAGTTGTGCAGGACATCACTGGGTCTTTCCAACAACTTTCGGGTTGCCTCTTGTTGCCAGGGAAGTTGAAAGGGCGGCAAGCCCTGGGGTATCGGACCAACCACCGGCACGCTGGTGGAGCCATCCTCCTTTTTGGTCACTTTCACAAAGAGAAGCCCCAGGATCACTACCAAAATTTCCTTCACCTGTGCTATGTTTTGGAGGAGTTTCCAGAAACTGGAGCCCTGTTTTCTTTTGGCGATGGCCTTGATTCGCTTGCAAATCACCACCAGTAAGATTAGGATTGTGCAGAGAGAAACGTTGGTCCAATTTGCTTCGTGCAGCTGATTCATGCAAGCCCAAATCTTTTGAAACGGACCTGGTGCATGTGGGAAGTGTGTGTAGCCGAAGAAACTTCTGAGTTGTGACACGATGATCAGCACCGCTCCACCAGTCACGAAGCCACTCAACGTTGGTTGAGACAAGAAGCGTACGGCAGAAGCCAGGTCGAAAATACCCATCAGAATCCTAGTTAGGGCAGGACCTGGAAGGAAAGCAAATGTCTATGAACCCTCTACCTTTGTAGGCGTCACTACCCAAGCACAACACTTTTGTCATAACTATCTGACTATGTACATATATATATATATATATGCATACATAATCATACACACACATATATATATATATTTATTTTCTTTCCGCACCATTCATTCTCACATGAATAAAATGAACATACAGCTTCACTTGCACAACTGTTCGCTGACTCTGTCTCCATTTTTGACACGGGGGAATGTCAAGTCTCTGAAAGGCCCTCCAAGGTATATATCACGTATATATATATAATCCATTGTAATCCTACCAGTATCACAACTCTGCTGCCCTATCCTCACCCATACTTCAGGGAATCATGTTGGCATTCACTGTTCAACCGTGATCCTGACGAAGGTTTTTTTTAACATATCATGCTAGAATGCTAGAGGCTGCTAGAGCAGTATGAGATTCTCCTCGACGAAACCTTGTTACTGGCTATTGGAGGTGCAGGCGATTGGCGGCAAGGCCTTGCATACTTCATCATTCCGAACAGCAGGAATCACCATAACAGCCATAACATCGATTTCTGGGACCTTCCCAACAGGGAGCTTAACCCCATCTCAAACAATGCACCCAGCTTCTGACTGACCCCTGCCACCAGTGCCAGCAGTGAGGCAAGCTGTGTCCGATCTCGTTGCTCTGGGAAGGGCTGCAACACGTTGGCCAAGATCATCGCAGCCATGGCGCCAGAAGAGACGGAGCCATGTCGCGATGTGCCAAGACATGCATAGATCAAAGGTGGCAATAGAGCACAATGGGGGCCTCGCAGGGTTTCAAAGGAAGACGCGTGGAAGACGGGTAGAATATCTAGGCATGCAAAAACTACGAGGGAACACTGGACAGTCCTTTTGGCCACAGAATTTCCAATTCAACATTTTGAAACCCAGGCCCATGAGCCCAATCAATATATGAGCCACCGTCAAAATCAATTGTTGATGTTTGGTACAAAAATGTAGGTTATCGCTTTTTGGGGGGCCCTATCGCTTTACAGTGTTTCGTTCAAATCAACACTAAATAATGCAAAAATGCAGCGGAATTGGCTTCACAGATTCAGGTCTCTAAACTGCTGGGAATGGATGAAGGGGCGCTCGTTGTCTTTGCGTTTGCAATCATGTTGGGGAGCTATCTAAGCACATTCCTAGACTCTTTCCTAAGGAAGGACATTTATTACAAGCTCAACTCTGAACTTAATTAAGATCACCAATTCAATGAAAACGAAAAAGGGTCACCTCGCAATTGTCCCTCTTTGATAAGCCGTGGCATCAGAAAACGCCACACTTCCTCGCTCAAAAGCTCTAGAAATTGAAGATGGGACCTCATAGTTCCACTATGTTCCAATAAAGAAGCGTTCGTAGCTATGAAGAAGTGCTTCTGGCTCCCCAACTCTCAAAAACAACCTGATGGCCTAGGGTTGAGAACCTGTTCGCTTTTTTGTTGAGTTCTTCTTGTTGGGATCAAATCAGCATATCCCTCGTCAACAAAAGGTTATCGCTAGGTTATCGCTAAATTAGAACATCTTGATGATCAAGAAAGGAAAAGAAAAAGGAACGTGGAACAAAAAGGCCAATTGAAAAAATAAAAGGAAAAAGGAAGGAACGAGAAAAGGAAACGAAGGAAGAAGAAGGGACAAATCAAACAAAAGGGAAATAAAATAGAATAAATGAAATGCAGAATTGGATTCCAAATCAATTTTGGTTTACTTCAGAATTCAAAAGGAAAATAAAAGGAAAAAGGAAGGAAAAACAAAGAAAAGGAAACACAGGAATACGAAATTTAAATTAAAGTAAAACACATAAACGGAATTCAGAATTAGATTTAAAACTTTAAACTATGTTTTAGTTTAATTCAGAATTCGGTTGCGTTTAGTTGAGTTTTTAGTTCTACTGCTTTGGGGCCTGGGAGAGAGAAAAAATTACTTCACTTCGTGTGATCCCCACCATGACATTTATACATTTTGTTATTGGCAAATCTTCTGGCATTCTATCTGACATATTTTCTGGCATTCGATCTGACATTCTATCTGGCATATCTTCTGGCATTCTACCTGGCATATCTTCTGGCAGATGTTCTGGCATATCTTCTGGCAGATGTTCTGACATATTTTCTAGCATATCTTCTGGCATATATTCTGGCATATCTTCTGGCATTCCATCTGGCATTCTATCTGGCATATCTTCTGGCATATTATCTGGCAAATCTTCTGGCATTCCATCTGGCATTCTATCTAGCATATCTTCTGGCATTTTATCTGGCAAATCTGCTGGCATTCTATCTGGCAAACATTCTGGCACTTTATCTGGCATATCTTCTGGCATTCTAGCTGATATTCTATCTGGCATTCTATCTGGCATACCTTCTGGCATTCTATCTGGCATATCTTCTAATATTCTATCTGGCATATCTTCTGGCACTCTATGTGGCATATCTTTTGGCGTGGATACTCGCGGTTGAGGTCCGGCAGGGAACACTGGGTGTGGATGATCGTGGTTGAGGTCCGGCAGGGAACACTGGGCGGGGATGGTCGTGGTTGAGGTCCGGCAGGGAACACTGGGCGTGGATAGTCGTGGTTGAGGTCCGGCAGGGAACACTGGGCGTGGATGGTCGTGGTTGAGGTCCGGCAGGGCACACTGACGTGGATGGTCGTGGTTGAGGTCCGGCAGGGAACACTGAGCATGGATGGTCGTGGTTTGAGGTCCGACAGAGAACATTGTGGATCGCGGGTCGCAGTTGGACGAGGACGACGAGGACGACGAGGACGACGAGGACGACGAGGACGACAAGGACGACGAGGAGGACGAGGAGGAGGCAGGAGGCAGGAGGCGGCAGGAGGAGGAGGCAACTGACATAAAATCTAACAACCCTCACCTGGCAGGTGGGGAAAAACAGCTGCCTGCAGCAAGCAAGGGTTCAATCACCTTGGACAAAAAATGGTATGGCAACTGCAAGAAACGTGGTTTTGCCCATCGCGTGAAGGCACACAACAATCTTTGCTTGGTTTACACCAAGTTTAATGCACTCTCATATGGTGACAAGTTATCGTTTTTTGGGGAGGCTATCGCTTTACATGGTTTGGTGCACTTTCTCAACACGACTGGATCCTCCCTTACTAAAAGTTTTAGAGTAGTCTACGCTTATTTTAACCGCATCTCATTGAGAATCTCGTATGTCAAGAATACAATGACATAACTAGGGATGGTTCACCAAGATGGTCTTGCCTTGAATGGGTTCCGTGGTCGCAATGGTTGCATGTGCCATAGTCTGGGCCAAGCACATGGTGCCCAAACTCACACCGGCTGACAGGTCGGTGAGGAAGTACTTGGCCTTATAGGTGGACAACCAAGAAATGATAGGCACCCGTGCCATCAGTCTGGGGCATCGCTCCCCAGCTCCAGCCCCAAGTTTCACATATGGAGCCTGAGCCATTGCAGCCAATGATAGCTGCAGGCATCAAAGCCCTGCTTAGCTGCAGGCATCAAAGCCCTGCTCAAGCCAAAGGCTGGGCAAAAGGCATGCGGCGAGATGAAACATGATGAAACTAAGTTTGGTCAGACCTGGAGAATTTCGGGAGATGATGCGGTACGACCAACAGGCTCGAGGCTTTGGGGCTGTTTTGGGACAAGCAATAAAACAATACAGAACATGCAGTCCCGTTCCCCTCTTGTTAATTGTGCCCAGTCGTGGCGTTGGAAAGTCCATTCACCCAGGAAACTCATTGGTGAGGACATGTGAGAACGAATAAAATCCAGTTTTCCTTGGGGATGTTGAAATTTCCCAGTTGAAAACCCAAGCTCCAAATATCTCCTGCTAAAGCCGCCAAGGCTCATGCAAGTGCTTGAAGGCAGAACAGCTACTGATGAATGGAACATGCCACCTGAGGCGGACATGAGAAAGGACGTTTTGTTGCCCACAAGTTCATGTATTATGTTCTATATCGTTCTATTATCACTAGATAAGAGTACGAGGTGTCATCGCCTGTTCTCCTATACCGCAAAATAGTTACATGATCCTTTTTATCGTTCAAAGTCACATCATGTCATATCAAAACGAGCATGTCATCATGTTTTCCTGGCACCGGGAGATAGAATGTGAATCTAGCCATTGTCCGCACCGAATCCAGTCCAGTTCAATGTGTTTTAGGCCCTGGCTCGCTCCGGCCAAAAAGCCGAAGGTAAGGAGTCCAACCTCAGCAGTCACGGTGCATCTCTGGCATGTGCTAAAACTTGACATGAAAGGTGGACTAAGAAAAGTCGAAAAACTTGCCATAGCTACACACAACGAACCAACCATGACCATCTACGTGTAGCTGGCACCATCGCCATGTGGCTGAACGACCAAAGGATTGCGACACAGCAGCACAAAAGAAAGCTTCCTTGGAGGGCGGGGTCAAGCAGGAGAAACGTGACAAAATGTGTTGCTCTGTGCATCTGTCAACTGCAAACTTTGGGCTTCCTTGGACACCCCTCATCTGTCAAGGGGCTAGCAGCGGCTAGCCAGTTCACGCCACTTAAAGGACTTGCATCCGCTTATCCAAACATGTCCAATCTAAAACAGCTTGACTCAGCTTGACAGCCTGACCAGCACCAAGCACTACCTACCTAGCTAGCTCCAGGCCTGTGCCATCCCAATGTGGTCATTTTGGACTAGGATTGGACCAGTTTCAAATGATTGCTTCCAATATTATGTCTATTCATAATACACACACACATATATATATAAACATGTATAATATATATATATATGTGTGTGTGTAATATATATATATATATGTGTGTGTGTATGTAATATATACATATATATGTATATACGAACTGGTAATTTAGACTACCTCCGGGAGGGTTTCCCTTGGCCCACCCGGCCATTTATTTAAACATACGGAATCCAATTTGGGTACATAGATTTAAATATACGGATGGAACTGGTGTCACATACTACCTCCGGGGCGTCGCGGTCTCGCCAGCCCTCCACATGTCGTTACCGTATACAGTGTGTATATGTTATATATATATGTGTGTGTGTGTGTGTGGGTGGGTGTGTGTGCATTTATATTTATATTATATTATATACACTCGTATCTATCTGCCTGTCTGTCTGCCTGTCTATCTACCTAGCTACCTACCTAGCTCTCTATCTATCTATTGAATCTATCTATATTTATAATCAAATTTATATATGTATATCATATATACTGTGTGCGTGTGTGTTCCGGTGAGACTGCTCTTGGTCGCTCAGGCAGTACTTGAATGTACTTGACATGTTGCAACGCCCTCACCTGATTCCACCTGCTTCAAAGCATCACATGCTGCAGAGATGGTGCCAAGGCTGGCTCTCAGAAGATAGAAGGCCTGAACCTGGATTGCCAGACTACAAGAGGTCAAGAAAGGTGAGGACCCAGTTCAAGGCAAGTGAAGAAGTTGTTCCTTTACATGCTTCTAGTTTGTTTCTGTCGTCATAAAAGGCGGGTCCTATCTCAAGGGTCCTATCTCATCATCGTATGTGTGCGTGCCGGTGTCCTGCCACACGCACGCGCGGATATATATATATATATACTGTGATTGTATATATATATATATATATCATACAATATGTCATGACATTTTATGGTGTGTGTGGGTGTGGGTGTGTGCATGTCTTGGCTTCTAGTTCCAGCCTTGTCAAGCCCAAGAAATCTGGCCGCACGAACAGGTAGGGCATGTAGCTCCACATAGGCATACCTCGGCCAAGGCAGGCCAAGGCATCATTCATGGGACCTTCAAGGGGCTGGAGATATGTACCTACTACAAGCATCTACAAGCCATCAATTAGCTCAACATGGTGTACTGTAGTATCTTGTCTGACCAAATGTGCATAGGGAAGTCGGTGTGGTGGCACACAGAACATGAGCCCATTGGAAATGGCAAACCCTGGATGGCCAATGTCAAGCCATGGCGCGACCTCAGGGCAAACTCAGGCGAGTATTCCTGAGGCGCAGGAGATGGAAAAATTCGGATGACTTCAGGTGAAAAAACGCTGGGAATACCTGCACATGCAGTGCTGGGCCAAGTAAGGTGAATGAATATGAATGGTCTCACTAAGTGGAATTCAATCTGCCGCAAGATCAGTCAGCAAGCCAGTCACAAAGTCGTCAAGCCGAGACGATGTGCTTAAGACACTTGCACCCTTCCAATTAAGATGAATTAAGCCAATTCAGCTTTGTGCAAGGCGCCAAGTCTTTGGAGAAACCTGCGCATCAAAATGATCCTTTGGTCCAGCCAGTTGAGGACAAGCATCCCATGTTTGCATACCGCTGCCATAGGTGACATAGTGAGTCGGCTCCTTGGCGCAGCTCAGCCATTTGGCCACCAATTTGGTCGAAAACGAGGCATCCCCAGTTCCAAGTGATTCTTACGATGGCGATATTCGGGCATACCCTCTGGTAAACGTTTACATAACTATGGAAAATCACCATTTTTAATGGGAAAATCCACTATAAATGGCCATTTTCAATAGCTATGTTAAATTACCAGAGGGTACATCATTCTACCAACATCTTTGCAGCTCTGGCGCTACATAGTTGAAGGTCTCATCGCAGTCCATGATTGGTGCCTGAGGTCAGCCAATTTGATCAGAGGAACCTCCGGGTTCCCCCTCCGTGGTCGCCGTGGTCTTCTGAGAGATGACTGAAGATGACCATAGATTGTGACCCAGGATGGCCACAAGGACAAAGTGGCTGCCCTGTGCTAAGTTCAGGACAAGATAGGCACAAACCAAGCGCACCAGCAGCAGGCAGCTAAACATGGCTTGCCTTGTGGTTGGACATTGGATTCTGCTGGGGTCACCATCTACCCGTGCAGAGATGTTGTGACTGTTCAACATTCTGAAATCTCCTCCATGATCTCAATGCTCATGATCTGAATCTGTGGAACCCACTGATGTTTCCTTCCACTGCCAAGACACATGGAGCCAGGCTTTGTGGCATCATCCGCCATTCGGCCAAGTTTGCCGTGAGCAGGGCACGATTGAAACCCCCAGTGGGGTCAAGGGAGGGCACAACATGGTCATTGCATGTCATTGCATTTTCTGTGACTCACCAAACCCGCCAAATGATGCCAAATGCAGGTATGGTATGGATGTAGGTGTTGAATGATGTTGAATGGCTTGCCGCAAAAGGCGATGTTGTTGGATGGAATTGTTGATCATTGAAGCCAAGCTAGACTTTGATCTGCATGGAATCGAAGTGAACACGGACTGATAGCTTGTTCTCAAACTTAGTACTCAACTGCAGCACCATGGCACCCTTGTGTGGAGAAAGAATGATTCTCCTTACTCCTCATGTTAAGTCTTTTGGTGGTGGCACCCACGCCAAGTTCCCTGTCACTTGATAGGCATATTGTCAAATGAGTCAAATAGTTGTCACCCAGTGGTGGCACAAACGGGGCTGACTGTCCTGGTCTTCGTCATCCCCATCCCTTAGCAGGAAGAATCAAGAAGATACGGAAGAGACAGTGATGTGACAATGATGTGACAATGATTTGACAACGACACAACTTGTAGTTGATGTCGCTCTATTTACAGTGTGCCACAGTGTGCGCTTTATCTGCCTCTAGCCGTGTGAAACTGTTGCAAGAGCTGGTTTGCAGGACAGATAGGACAGTTTCTCTACCGAATTAAGGCCTGCGCTGCTGCTTGGTGGCCTGTTGGAAGGCTTTTTGCACTTCCTGCCACTCTGATGGAAGAGATCCACTGTCAAAGGCACCACTAACAGCGGGTGGCTTAAGGATCTTCTGCGCATCATTAACTACATAGGTCCGTCATGGTCCGTCCTTTCGAGCCAACGGCAGCGCTCGCCTTGCCCGACGCTTGAAGAGTGGCTCCACCTGCCAGCGGTTCCCACGAGGTCTGTGCCGATGGGTCCACGCAGGTGGGATTGGGATGAGGGCTATGTTCAAACATCTAAAATAATTACATATCCAGTCCAACCCACACTTAGAGATCTTTGAGGTCACCGCAGTATTCGACCAAATTGCAATCAAATGCATGTGGCTCCATGTGCTTACAAATAGAGAAGACAAACAGAATGTGAATTCAAAAAACGCTTTGGGCTTTGAGTGTCCGCATGGTCCTTACCTACCAAGCCAGCCAGCATGTCTGGCCCCTGTTCCAATCAGGACAGCCGCACTGCTGAGCGCAGCTCAGAGGAGACCAAAGCCCTTTGCCAAATCCGATAGTCGTCCTCCAGGGCCGTGCTCTGCATGGACAAACCGGAGGGGGAACCAGACTCGATGCTGTCCTCTCTTTCATTCTTGGCCTGGATCACTCCACCGTGCGCTACAGTATGTGACTTTGGGATACTTTTGGACTAACATGGACTAACTTGAGGGTGCCCTGGAAGAACACACCCAATGCAGGCAACATGCAATGCTCAAGACATGTAACACACATTCGGCAAGCTGCTGTTACTGAAAACTCGTAGTTACACGTAAATGTCACCAGAATGGAATGCACTATACATATATACTTCTATTTTAAGTGAAAATGTGAACAAAGGTCATGATATGTCATGATTGTGAGGAGAATGATGCTGATGAATACTGATGATGGTCATAGTCATAATGCTGGGGATGGTAGTGGTGGTAGTGCTGGTGCTGGTGCCTGACACCTGCCTTTTTAGGGTCATGCCATGGCTGTGCCTAGTACAATGGTGGGTTAGAATGGCAAGGAAGTGGGAATGGCATCAGCACTGAAGATCAAATTTAGGAGACTCGGAATGGCATGGGCTGGCTATCGGATATCCTTGGACATAAGATGGAATGAAGGCCAGGCACCTACTTTCAGCTTCAACTACAGGTGCCAATGCTATCTTTCTTCCATTGTTATCAAGCCATTGTCACCAAGCTCGGTGTCCGTCTACGCCAAGACTCAACCTTGAAGCGCGGCGAACCGTTGGTGCTTGATGGTGCTTGTTGGTCAGCTCACCATCCAAATGAAACGATTGAAGATCTATGAAAATCTGAACACTTTGGGGATCTGTGGGTATCTTTGGGGTGCTTCCAGCTTGAGCTTGTTTCTTTTGCATCCTTTCCCTGCACTTCCCTTGACTTCATGCTTACTTTGATCATCTTTGATCCACCTCAGGCAAAGAAAAAATGCGACACAAGCTCCTGCAATCCGAGCCTATTTGAGATTATTGCTCCAAGTCGACGTGAGTCTTCATTTTTCTCTTCTTCAACTTCTGGCTTCGTAGGTTCCCACCGTCTTCAGCTTCGCATTTATTCATTTCTTTAACTTGCTCTTTCCTTTGACCTTCCTTTCCTGCTGTTTTCTTCTCCTTTTGCTTGCCTTTGGCTTTTGGCTTGCATATTCAACTTGCCTTTAGCTTTCGCATGCTTTTCCTTTTCTTTTCCCTTCGGCTTTTGCGTATTTTACTTCTTCGCGTTCTTTTGCTCTTGCATGCTTTTTCTTATTCGCCTTCCTTTAGCTCCCGCAAGCTTTTGCTTGCCTTTGGCTCTTGCATGCTTTTGCGTTTTTGCTTGCCTTTAGCTTTTGTGCTTATGCGTACTCGCATGCCTTTGCTTTGCGTGCTTTTTCTTAACTTGGTTGCTTCAAGGCTTGAAGACTTGTATTTCCTGTTTCCTTGAAAGAGTTTCGACTGGCAGGAATGATTCCCCCATAACATGGTATTATGTACATTCGTTCCAGTTGCTCGTCGGCACCAGCCGAGCAACGCCTTTCCACTATAGCCCAGGAGGCACACGGCATGCCACACAGAAGCTGCACATGTCGAGTCTCCGACCTGTTGTCTTTGACCTTCACTTCCCCTGTTGCCATGTAAACTTTTCATGACCCTTCTGATGCTTCTTTGCTGGTCTCCTGCTTTGCTCCATGACTTACCCGTTACCTTACTCGGAACTTTGCTTCAACTTGTTTGGGCTTTTCTGGCAAATGCATTACCTTCAGCTTTCCTTCCTGGATCCTTTCTTCCTCATCAGCTACATTTGCAACAACTGTGGCACAAAACAGTCCGCCCAAAAATCATGTGCATAGCTTTGGGGGCAGGAGGCTTCACAATGTCTGCTTCATCTTGGCTTCCTCCCTGCCAGCTTTCTTCACTTCATTTCATAGAATGACCTAAATGGACGCTGAAAGAATGTGTTGATGTGGAAGAGGGTTCCAGTCGGCGCACTTCTTCACGAATATTCAGACAGCATCTGCAGACTTTTGGGAAGGACTGTCCGCAAGGTGACCCCTTTGTCCTTGCACCTTTTCCCGAAACTCTTTGCTTTTCATATCTTTTCATAGTGACTGACAAGGCCAACATCCTGTCACCGAATCCATACCACAACGCAATACATCGCAATATACAACAGCAAAGAGGAGCAACGACACGGCGATTCTGATCCAAGGCGAGTGGAACTGCAGCCATTGGTCAATGATTGGTTTGACATCTCAACACTGAAGCGTCTGAATATCAAAACAGGAGATGCCACGCAACTGCTTATACTGCTTGTGTTTTTCTTGGTCTTCGCCCTTCTCTGCAGGATGGACGCGCGACTCGAATTTGGAAACACGAGGAAAGTTCCAAAACAATCAGCATTTACATCCCTGATGCTTACCCAGTCTACCAAAGCTCGAAAACGGATCAGGCTGGGACTGGTGATAAATACGCCAGCAAGTCGAATCTCATCATAAGAGATTCAATGGGCATGAATGGGCAAAGTGGGGAGAGGCTTAAAAAGACGCCCCATATGCCCATTCACTGATATTGAGGGCTGCAAGTCCAAGTCGCCTCCAAGCATGTTCCTTACAATCGCTGGCTCCCGCCTTTAGCTGCACTTCTGGAAAGTTAGGTCCCATATGGTCCCATGGTTTTTCTGGAGTCGGCTGCCCTTTTTCCATTGCCACCAGCCTTCCTTATCGTCCCCGCCTCAGGATAGATTCGTGGCCGTTGCGGGGACCGGGACCCCCATTGCTGATGACCAGATCCACCAGCCTTGCGCCTCTGCTGGATCCCCCCAAAAAAAAGTCCTCGGAGATCCCTAGAACTCGAAGCCAAATGAAGAGAATGTGCCTTGGAGCAGGCAGGATGAGCCTTCTGCAGCATCTGTTTTAACAAGCACGATTGACCAAACATAGAAGGAGAATGTGATTATATGATATTATATGTGATTATATGTGTTATGTACGCTCTAATTACTAATAAATCATCTAATAAATCATCTAATAATCTCTAACACGTGTTTACAATGCACATTCTCATCTGGAAGTTGCTCACATTTTTCCACCTCTTTCTGGCGTCCATTTCCCCCGGTTTCTTCGTTAACGTCAGTGGGTGCCCTTGGGGCCCACAGCTCAGCAACCCTCAGCCGCACAGCTGCATCTCAGCTGTGCTGGTCAGCAGCATCAGCAGCTGGCAAAGAAGTCATCCCATCCATTCCCAGGATCCTGGTATGGCAGCTCCCTCGGATGTTCCTTAGCTGGCTATGGTTTTGAGGGGCCCCAGCAAAAGGCTTTGGGGTATGGTAGCCTCGTGTAGCCGCCAGTCTTGCAAGAGCTCTTGCTTCACCACTGAGATGCAGCAAGCAATAGTCAGCACAGTTCAAACGCCAAATCTAGTGACCATCCAACATTCATGCCTGCCAAATGATTCAAATCTTCATAGCACTTTGCCATACTTTGCCAGGGTCAAGCCACGTCCACATTGCAATAGAAGTTGGCTAGATCTCTGTTGCTCCGCACTGGCGGATTGTAGGGCGGGGTAAGGCTCCGATTCTTCATAGCCTTGGCGCCACATGGCGCCACCAAGTTGGTCACTTGGAATTGCAAGCTCCCACGAGCCCGAAAGACAGCAATGTAGTTTGGGGCGATGTGGAAGCTACACCAAAAAAAAAACACAAAATTGACTCAAAATTAATTTGGATATTGCGATATATTGCGCATGGCACATGGCACATCATATTACGTCATTAAAGATGATGTTGGTAATTGTTCGTAGCTGTTAGGAATAGTACCAAGAAAGTTTTGCCCCTGGCAGCTGATCATGATGGCTGGTTTGCAAGCATGCAACGTTATGGTCGAAACCTGCATACCAGCTTTGCTTCCAGAGGTTTGACAAGCCTCCTGTCTGTGCCGGAAGCCTCTTCTCCGGAATCTCACGCAACAGCCTGCCGAGCTCGTCGAGCTCGTGAAAGGGATGAGATCGACTTTGGGGGAATATGATGGGATGGGGTGGAGATTCGGAACAAAACAGCTGTATGCAATATTAGTTTCATATAGTTTCATGCAATGTCATTATATAATTCAATGAGGCCAAGACACCCCTTGATGAGATCTTCCGCAGAGCCCATCAGCAAAGCCGGGAATCTCACTCTTTCCTCGGGTCCGGAGTGGCAGGCTATGCTCTCTGCCCCTGGCCACTGGCAGTGGTGCACCAAGGTTGCTGGATATGAACTTATATAACCCATATCCACAGGAACAAACCCCATGTTCAATGGTAAGACGTGGTTTCTGGCATTTTGACTCAATTTTGCCATCAATCCAGTGAAAATGTGGACATCTTGGGCGGCACCCCTCCCAGCTACCACTGCAGCTCAAGCTCTATGCCCTTGTTGATCTTCACGAAGGTCCTGGGCTCGAAAGTTCAATCCCTTGGTCTATACTTGACAGCGTCATGAACTTCACAAATCTATATGCAAAGAAACTACTTTGAGAATCCAATATTTCAAGCTATGCATTCTGCTTTCCCATCACACCGCCAAGCTTCTGGAAAGGATATGCCGACTCAAAAGGCGCCTTTCCAGCCAACAGTTCGAAGACCAAAACGCCAAGCGCCCACCAGTCCACGTTGATATCGTGTCCGGATGCCTTTCGCACATGTTCATCAGCAAAATCTATAAAATGAATCAGCAAATATCGGCAGCACATGCGCAACTGCAGCTCTACAAATGATTGTCCGTGTTGCTCTAATCATGGGTTGGAAACGTCACCGCCTTGACCATTTCAGGCGCAAAGTAATCGGGCGTACCAGTGACTGTGTAGGTGCAATTTTGTTGCAAACTTTGCGCAGCCCATGTCCTCAAGGGCGAAACGAGAAGGGGGAAGAATAATAACTATGTGATATAAATATGCTTGCGGATGTAGGCATACAGGTGCACACACACAAATACATATCTATATCATCTATATCTATATCTATCTGTCAATCTGTCTATCTGTCTATCTCTCTGTCTATCTATCTCTCTGTCTGTCTGTCTGTCTGTCTGTCTGTCTGTCTGTCTCTCTATCTATCTCTCTATCTATCTATCTATCTATCTATCTATCTATCTATCTATCTATCTTTTCTATCTTATCTATCGTATCTATCTTATCTATATTATCTATCTTATCTATCTTATCTGTCTTATCTATCGTATCTGTCTTATCTGTCTTATCTGTCTTATCTATCTTATCTATCTTATCTATCGTATATATCTTATTTTTCTTATATGTCTTATCTATCGTATCTATCTTATATATATTATCTATCTTATCGTTCTTATATATCTTATCTATCTTATCTATCTTATCTATCTTATCTATCTTATCTATCTTATCTATCTTATCTACCGTATCTATCTTATCTGTCTTATCTATCTTATCTATCTTATCTATCTTATCTATCTTATCTATCGATCGATCGATCGAACCATCCATCCATCCATCTAACCTATCTAATCTATCTAATCTATCTTACCTATTATCTAACCTATTACCTAACCTATCTAACCTATCTAACCTATCTAGTCTATCTAATCGATCTAGTCTATCTAGTCTATCTAATCTATCTAATCTATCTAATCAAATAAATAACGATCTAATCTATCTAATTTATCTAATCTATCTAATCTATCGAATCTATCGAATCTATCGAATCTATGGAATCTATCGAATCTATCAAACCTATCAAATCTATCTAATCTATCTAATCTATCTATTCGATCTAATCGATCTAATCGATCTAATCTATCTAATCTATCTAATCTATCTAATCTATCTAATCTACCTAATCTATCTAATCATTAATCTACCTAATCTCTCTAATTTATCCGATCTATCTAACCTATCCAATCTATCTTAATCTATCTACTCTATCTAATCTATCTCATTAATCTAACCAATCTAATTAATCTAATTAATCTAACTAATCTAACTAATCTAATTCATCGATCTATCTACCTATCTATCTAGCTAGCTAGCTATCTATCCATCTATCTATCTATTTATTACTATATGTGTTTATACTTATGTGTTTATTTACATATACATATGTGTGTGTCTACCTATATTTTATGTGTATATATATATATATAATATTATAAAAATACATATGTCGTTTCTTCAGCAGCTGAGGTTCTCGTGGCCTGACATGCCATGCTTCGCATGCTTGGGGTATGGTAATGCAGTGAGTAATGCATTAGTTGCGGCAATGTCATCCAACATAATCCGACTATTATACTGTCTGGTTGGTGGTTTTAACCCCTCTGAAAAATATTAGTCAATGGGAAGGATTATCCCATATATTATGGGAAAATAAAAAATGTTCCAAACCACCAACCAGCTATGATATGGTACATATAAGCATCCAGCAACAGGAATTTCACCAAATTTCTGCTACCGTGGCGGACGGCAACAGGCGTCCGTTTGTTTGCTGCTGCAGCAAAGGCACTGACAACTTCACAAGGCCGTTGTGGTCCAGCAGGATGTTCCTGAGTAAATCGATGTGTTGCGATGCTTGGAAAGTTGTTACTGGCAAGCCATGATGCGACAGTCTCAGCATGACAGTGAGGGGGGTGAGGAGGATGAAAACAGGTTTCCTGATCGTCATATTATCATATTAAATTGATGCTATCTGATGCTGATGGTGACCAGTGATCAGTGTCATTTTGGTGATGCTGCTGGCGAGTCTGACGAGCAACCAGGTTAACCATGCATACTGCATACGCCGGGAGAGATCAGCACGCTACTACGGATCTTCAAGTTGTCAAGTGAATGTCTGCCTTGCGGGTCAATCATCTGCCTGACATATGTTGTTTCTCATCCATGGTCCGGCCATCGCTCTCAAAATCGTCTGGATTCTCAAAGTGAGATATAAGCCAGAGAAGAAAGGATGCCATTCTTGTGCGAAAGAATCGTGTTCAATATGACCTAGGACCTAGGACTGCGTGTGAATATTTTGAATGTAGTCGAATATTACTAATTATTGTTTTATAATATTCTTAGGAGAGAGGGGAAAAAACACTATATAATTCTCCCACCATATCCCACCAAAACCTGGACCACTTTGACTACTTTTTGGAGTGGCCGGTTCCCGGTTCCACGTAGCCAGGGTTCTCAGGCTTGACATCTCTATAGACGATTCGGCGATCATGCATATGTTCTAAGGCGAAGGCCACCCCGGCAACATAGAACCTCTAGCAGAACGGATCGGGTGGGACAGCTATCCAGCTGCTGCAAGCCTTCCACCATCGATGGAGCACGTGCTCCTGCCTGGCATGATCTTCACTACCAAAGAAGGACCTCTTCTTGTAGATGGTGAATAGCTCACCACCAAGCGCTGCCTTTCACAGGAGCGATACTGTTTCTTGATATTGAAAATGCTAAAAACGCTTTCCGAACTGAACCATTGAAATGGAAAAAGATGATCGGAAAAGTCCTTGGCAGCAGAACAAATTCGCTGGACTTAGGTCTTTGGGTCTTAATTATCTTAATTTCTGTTGGACGGAAATTTATGATCACAGTGTTCATCATAAATCTATATAAATCTACTGAGCTAGAACCAGCGCCAGAAATTGTGGCTCTGCATTTAACAACGCTCCCAGGACGCGGCGGGGGGAATACTGTTGCCACACCTCAAGGAGAAAGCACAAAGACTTGGGAGTGTTGTATGTCTCCTTAGGGCAGAGCTTGTCAGAAGCCCAGCATTTATTGAAAGGATATGGCACCTGTACCCTTCCAGGAATTCCAGCGGACAGGCGACAATGTCATTGAAATTCATGGTCATTGATGGATCTTACTGGCATGAATCGTGAAGCACTGCTAAACTGCTAAACTAATAATACATCCAACACTTCTGGGCAGACAATCTGCCAAAAGTGACATATTGCGGACTAAAGCAACATCAAAGGCGGCAAGTTGTCCTTTATCCTGGTATATCTGGATATGCCCTGGTAGAGAGAAAGAATAGACATAGAACGTAAGGCCACTCTTCATCGATCAAGTAGCAAAGAGCTTGATGATGAATGGCGAGCTCGTCATGTACAACACATCTTTCTCGTTGGCAACGGCTGACTTCATTTGGGCTTGCCAAATATAGCCTGATCGCCAGTGTTTCACGGCCAATTTCCGGAAATCTTGACATCATGCATCTTCAGACTTGAGAACCACACCACCATCAGGCAACCAGTGGCAACCAAGTGCACGTTGCATCCAGGTAGCCTTTACTGACCGATTTCAACGCATAGGTATTGCCAGAGTTCCCATGCTGAACCAGGTCAACAGTGGAGTAGCCCCCACCTGCCGTCCGATTCGACCCAACATAACGGGCTGATGGCAGGATCTTTCTCTCGATTTAAGGGAAAATTCACCGGAACACGCCTCTATTTAGGTAAAAAGATGTAAAAAGGTATTTAAAAATATGGCTTCCATAGATTCCATAGATGTTCCACGTTTTTTTCCGCAAATCAATCCATTGACCATCTGGCCTCGCCTGCCTCTGCCGAACAAAACCATCTGGCTCCAGTTTTCTGAGGAGCCGACATCCCATGCGGCCGCAGGTCACCAACTCGTGCTTGTAGATCCTGTCCTTGGTCCAAAGGCGATGTCCATGGCGTCACCATAATTTGTTGAATGGCCGTCAGCCAAGGCACGCGATCAGGATCACCTTGCAGCGAAAGGCTGTGGTTTGGGTTTCCTTTTGACCCTCTTCTCCATTGTTCTCCCAGCCCACTATGCCATTTTATCATAATGTTCTATCTCCCTGCGGACATTGAACGTCGAGGCCAATCAAGTGCAATCTGCAATCCCAATCCTATGCCCAGAGAGCCCCTTGTTGACAGATTACAGGCATGATTGACTAAAAACCCATTGCACTGTGGCATTCGGCAGCCTGGATGATGAGCCTTCTTGTCCCTGTCCGCCTGGGCGCATTGAACCCCATGGCCACATCAGGATCCAAAGCATGACTTCACATCTCCCCAGTGCTCAAGGATGAATGTTGATCCAGGGCACTTTCCAGTCTATCGTCTTCAACGAGTTCCTTAGTACAGTCAGCGCAGCTCTATGTGGCTCCTGACTTCTCAAATATAGACATCTGTTGTCAAGGGAAGAAGTGAGGGGTGCCCTTTCATCGGGCCTGTCCAACAGTATCATACAACAGCGAATCTCGAAACTAAGGCACTCGAAGACCTCGCGAAGCAAGCCCAGATGTTCATCAAACGCATCCTCTCACAGGGGGCCCTTCATCACCAGGAGGTGAGCAGCGAGGGTTACTGTGGTTAGAAGCCGCTAGTTAGTAGCCAAAAGGACTGGACACAGGACACATTCAACCCCCAGTGATCACTGGCGACTGTAACTGTAGCAGGCACTCCTTGTCCAGCATGAGGCAGCGAGCGGACTGCAGCGACAGGGTATGTTTTATCATGTGTCAAAACTGCTGCTAGTTCTACTTATTAAAGCAAATGATTGAGACTAGAATCTAGGAGTGCCAATTTCTCCATCGCCTCTTGCAGCTACATTCGTCCACTAAAAGTTTAGGTATGAAAAGGATGCGCAAAATGACTGAGAATGTTGAGAAATGCTGAGGATAGTAAGGAAGAATTAGCCCGATCGAACTCTAAAATACTCTCTAAATCTTAAGCCCCCCAACAGGCCATGGTGGGAGATGCGAGTGGTTAGTGGTCCCAGTATGTTCCAGTGGTTCCAGTGGTTCCAGTGGTTCCAGTGGTTCCAGTGGTTCCAGTGGTTCCAGTGGTCCCAGCCCTGCCTCTGATATGACCTTCACTGTGGCCGCTCTCGGCTCTTGGTACAACAGCGCACGCTCGCCGAAGTACGGAATCGTCTGCTTGGCCTAGGCGCCAAGGCAGTGCCGGTGAACTGCCACAACATTCTTCAACCAGCATGTTTTGTGGAGTTCTCGTGCTATGCACTGCGTGTTCAATGTTCAATGTAATTATGACACAGTATGAAATAATAGTATATAATAGTATGAGATCAAACTCAGACTGTAAAGCAAGATTTTGGCGAAGTGGTTCAAGATTGGGGTCTATTCGGGTTTACCTTCCCATCCCCACGCCAAAGCATCAACGACGGTTTGGCACCAAGAGGAGTCCAAGGTGCCACATTGGCCTCTAACTCGCCTTTCACCATGTCATCTCTGAGGATGGCCACCTCGCGGCCCAATGAAATATCCATTTTCACACAGACAGACAGATAGATAGCCCAAGCGGCCAAAGCATGCTAAATGATGAAAAACATCCTAATTCTATCTAATTCTATCTAATTCTGCTAAATCATGATACATATTTGGAACAGCGACAGTAAGGAATGCCACGCACAAAAAATTTGGCCAAAACGACCAGCTGCACCTTGCCCTCCACCAGCATGAAGAAGGTATTTCCAGGCGCCTTGGGCTCCGAGTGCCAAGAGATGCTAAAACGATCACTTGCCCTGGACGAATGTCTCGAAGCTGACGAAGTTGTTTGACTCATCCTTCTCTCTCTCTATATATTATTATATATAATATTATATAATTATATATATATATCACACACACGTATGTATATATATATGTGTGTGTATATATACACATGTGTGTGTGCGTGCGCGTTTCCATAGGATGTTCTGTTTTCATGTCTGATTTTGAAGAAACTGTCAGGATACTCTTAAGGGATCCCCTTGAGACCTCTGGGTTCTAGGGATCTTCAATGATCTTAGCACATCTTAGCGCATCTTAGCACATCGTCACCATCCATGGTTTCTTCGCCTTGTTACTAGTTTCTAGGGCCAGCCATCCTTAACATCGACTACTACATTGACTTCTCATCAGTCTGCCATTGAGTGGCGCCCTGCTCGACGATGTGCTCCTCCGCGTTGTAGGTGACTTCAACGACCACTTTGGCCATTTGAGCCTTCCTAGCAGTTGACGTCAGTCAGCTGAATGTGGCTGGCAGAAGTGTGCAAAACCATTCTCAACCAAGTGTTTAGGTCTAAAGGTCATGAAGATCATGAAACTTCATTGTGGTTCTTCGGTTCCCATCCTGTGTTCCCTCTATGGATCACCCGCTGTTTTTACCTGTCGCTGTTGCCAAACTTGCCAAGGCTCTCAGTCGTAAGCATCGGCATGAGCATAGGAACGGCACTAAAGACTTTGACGTATTCCATCTGCTTCTCCTCCCCGACAGCATCAGGATGGTCAGCAGAAACGAAACGCTGAGCGTTTCAAGCTGATCACCGGTTGGAAGAAAAACCAGCCATGCCCCAGAGATATACAGTTGACATATTTGACATTACACTGATAGGACATAGCCAGCCTCACTGACAGGCATCACGATGGACTTGAACTGGATTCCTTGGGTCATGATATCTCCATGGTATCTCCATGGGGAGATACCCCAGATCTTTCAGCCAGGTCGCGATCCAAAACCCACACGGATGCCTCTGTGCTGCACACGATCGTAGCTCTCCTGAGATGCGCAACATTCAGCGATTGTTCCATAATTGACCCAGTTTCAATTCGAAAAAAATGAAGTGCTGCTGATAGGATGTTGGTGTAGATAGAATCCAGTGTAGTTACAAGCGTTTGTTCACACTATACCTCCCAACACTCTCCATCAACACTCTCCATCTCCCAACTGTCACATCTGTCACCCAGCTTCCGAGGAATCAAAAAGATGATTGCCAGCTCCCCGAAGGTGCTTCCCCGCTTCATCATGTCCACCACGGTCTTCCTACCTGGGCAGCTGTGATGAAAGCTTGATTTGCCGGCCATGCCCGACATATGAGGAGGTCGTTGCGATTGATTACCAGTGATTACCATAGACTACCTCGTGTTTGCACATATCAAACAATCAAAACAGCTATTCCTGAGGCTGTTACTGTGAACAATTCCTCCAGGCCTCGAATCGGCAAGCCTCGGTTTATCTGCTTTTCCATGCTTGATTTCCGGGGATTCCCACAAACATGGCAGCAATATCTGTCCACAGGCTAGGTATATGCCAAGAGTACCGGAAAACCATAGTACAATGTCATATATATATATATATACCCAGGACTTCAAAAGACATAGTTAAACCACGAGGTACACGAAAGACACGGTAAGACCACGACGTGCATACATCGTCAAATTAAGGTATCGATTTTATCATCATCACTCTCATGTTCATGCCTTAAAACACATGTTGATCAAGTAAAGTGTATGCTTCACCATCATCATTCTCGTGTCTATACCACCAGGCACACACAGGGTAGCCGTTAGTCACTGTTGGCTCACGGTTGGCTCACGGTTGTCTCACGGTAAAACCTTGACGCCAATACACAAAATCACGACGTTCGGGGGGGGGTCTCACGGTGTCTCACGGTTGTCTCACGGTGTGATCACGGCTGCTAAAACCACCAGCTTCCACGCATTTGTGTGCTAAATTCAGCTAAAGGTGATATTTTTCAGAGCATCAGAAACCTTGGAATAACAGCCAGCATCATGAAATGATGAGTTACTCCTTAGATCAGAATATAAGCATGGATTCTGGTAAAACCACGACGTTGTGCTGGATCATGGTCAAACCACGGCCAGGAAGTCCTGGGTATATATATATATATTATATTATATAATATATATAATATAATATAATATATGTATATATATATACGTATATATATACATATAATATATATATATAATATTATATATATATATACGTATATATAGTCCAATGATGTCCAATGCTAATGTCTTACCGGCCTGCCGGCATGTGTGCAACTGCTGGAAGAATGTGTTCCATTTTGTTCGCATCGCTGTTTGGCCCTGTGACGGATTGGTGCCGAGCTTGTTTGGGAAAACTTATGGAAAAAAAACAACATGCAAAACATATGTTCCTGAAAATCCTCGGTGCATCTGAGCAGCTTTTCACTTACAATCACCTCAAACCTTGGTGATTCGCTGGTGAATAGGCATGAGATGGCACTTCACCTGCCGTTCTGTCTTCAACACGGCAACAATTATTCGGGAAAAAATACTGAACGAAGTTCATGCTAAGGCTAAGGGGGAAGCTGCATCTGCTTGGAAGAAAACATCAACCGCAGGTTTAGATTCTCTGCATTTTGGCAATATAGCATAAAGATCGATCTGGATCATGACAACTGTGCAAAAAAATTACAGATTGGCGACGCGCCAGACTCAACGACGTAGAAGTACTCCGCACCCAAGTCATTTTCACGAATGAGACGTCTGCCGGGCCTTGCTGTTCAGGATGAGTCAAGGGCAAGCTGCTACTCATGTTCACTCCTAGATGACTTGTATATGGGTATGATAGGTATGATATGATATGGTATTATGATGTATGATGATGGTATGCTGATGGTATGATGATGGTATAATGATCGAATCATGATGGTATGCTGGTGGCATGATGATATTCTACCTCTCAATAGCTAAGAAAGAGATGCCTGGATCTGCCAAAGTGCTGCCAAAGGCACACCACCCTCTCCCGCCACATCGCTGCAGTGATGGCTTGGATTTTGTGCTCAGTCAGCCCACTCATGCCACCGTTCAAGTTCTCACTGTTCAGGAGGCACTCCCTCAAAGCGCAGCTGCGCCAAAATATGGCAAATACCGAGGAAGGATTTTGCATGATTTTTGCCATGGAGAGTGGAGGCAAGAAATCACAAGCTTTGATCCGCCATGAAAATTCAGAAATCTTTGGAAACACCCAGCTCTTTAAACGGAATGGGTCAATGGATTGGTTTAAGGGAAAATCTACAGGAAACCATGGTTTTTACCATCAAATATAGGGGTTTCCTGTAAATTTTCCCATCATCCAATTCTATGAAATGGGTCATACTATACACGGATCTACATCTCAACCGGCAGTAGTTGGTGCCTGATAAACGCCTTGTCCTGCGGAGTCTTAGGCGTAGGTGGTTTGCTTCTTCCTGAGTGCAGGGAAGCTGATGGAACCACCAGCACCCTTTCCAGTGCCATTTTTCGTGTATAGTGCCAGTGGTATATACATATCACTGGAAAGGGTAGTGGAAATGGAAAAAATGGCAGTTCCAGTGTCGGTGACCATACATATCACTGCATACCAGTGCCAGTTCTGTCACTCACGATCTTTTTTTTCTAGCCTTGCGGGCAAACCAAACTGTCACATGCATGATAGTCAGCCAACTTCGGTAAACTCTCAACTTTCGACTTTCAATCATGAAGGAAAACAGCTGAAAAACATAGGGACATATATACACACAAGAATACACCCCGCTGCACTGAAAAGTGTGCATTCGTCAAGTCGTATCTGGCATCAGCGCATGCATGAAAGATCATGAAGCATCTTTTCCACGCGCGCAAACAGTTTCCTCTCTTTGATTCCCAAATCAATTGCCCCAAAACAAAAAATGGTCGTCAAGCTATGATGTCCTTCTGAGAAAACTAAGACGGGTTGATTTCAATACCATTTACATCCATATACTAGTATCATCATTTACCTGTTGATTGCTTAAGGACGTTTAAGGGGCCACCTCTGTTTTTCAACCAACCAGCGGGAAAGGACACCACGGCATCAACTGCAGGCCGCCATTCATTCCGAGCATCGAATCTTTGGCTTCCCTGAATGAGGATGGTATGGGCCAAAATGGGTCATGAGTAACGCACCTTTCAACATGTCCCAAGGAACACACACCGAACCGGTCATCGATCAACACGGTAACTGGGGACCAAAAAAATGTTGCTCGGCATCCTTCTTGGTTCCCATGGTTGCTCATCAACCATGGCATTTGGATGCCAAAACTGGGGAAAGAAAGGATCCATAGATAAAGACTCCTTGAATCATCGAATGACAATAGACAAAATAGATAACTTAATTAGACATCAATATACATCAATAGACAATATAATTAGACATCAATATACATCAATAGACAATATAATTAGACATCAATAGACAACAATAGACAACAATAGACATCAATAGATCTTCAAATCTTCCTCTGACAACACCATTTTCGCCAAAAAACTCTCGGCTTTGCGATCCGCGAAGGTGAGCTTTTCTTTGAGCCCCAGCTCTTCGAAGTGCTGGGCCAGGGCGACAAGGCTTAATAAGTGAAAACCTTTTGGCGAACTTCAAAAAAACGTCAAAATGAGACTTCAAAATGCTCCCAGTATCCCAATCTGAATCTGAGCTTACTGATCTTGCTGGTAGCAAACGGCATTCAAAACATGCTAAATGGAATTTCAGCCTGATTGCTGCTTAAACTATGTAGTCTCATGGTTTGAGGACTTTGATGATGTTACAATGATGTTTAATGATTCTTCTCCGAAGGCATCCGAAGGCACTCTGCCCTTTACAGGGCCTGCCGCTGGATCTTTAAGCATTCGGCAAAGCTCTCTGAGGTGATCGTGGCTGTGCGCGGCTCCTCGGGCCCAAAGACGTGGATCTTCATTTAAAGGACCATGCTGGCACAATATAATATCCAACGACAACACTGTAACACCAAGTAACACCAAGTAACACCATGTAACACCAAGATGTGGTGTTAGCCCATGATCCATATTTTGATCCATTTTGATCCAAAAATGGTAAAACTTGAGGCCGCCAAGGTGCTGAGGCCAAGAGGGCTTTCTCCCCAAAGTAGTCTCCAGGCCCAAGGCGCCCCACCACCTGACAGCATCTGACAGCTGGGGCAGCTGGGGACTTCCCATGACTTCCGGCTGTGGCGCGGCCACTGGCCTTGTCGCCCTTCACCGTGTGGACTGTCACACTGGCCTCACCCTGCCGCAGCACGTAGAAGTCATCTCCCATTTCTCCTCAAAAAGGCATCAGTGGGCAAGGGATGGCAGCGAACACAAAAGGGATTTGAAGACAAAATGCTCGGAGTATCGCGTAGGGTTCAGTGGGGTTGAGGTTGTGCCATGAGAAACATTGAGAAACATTGAGAAACCACGTATTTTCATGTATTTTCTAGGACCACTGCCGTGCTCCCAGTGAAAGAACTAACAGCCATCAAGCATTGATGTCTTCCGTAGTCTGCCTATAGAAGAAAAACTTGGGCACTCAATGGACTCAAGCCATCTCAAGCCGACAAACCTCAGACAACTGGATATGGGTAGCACCTCACCAGGTAAGCCCGCACAAGGTGGAATATGCTTTGTTCGCTGACAAGTTCCCCAACTTTTGCAGTAATCACCTGGGCTGTTTGCATAAGTCAACCCCACAAGCACTTGCAGGGATGGTGCTAAACTCACAAAACACCAGGGCACCGGTCCTTCTTTGATGATGACTGTGCGCGGAGGAAACTTTACCGACTTTGCGGCACGGGCCACCAAAGGCTGTTGATCCAGCGGCAAGCGCTTCAACAACGGCACCTGATTTTTGTTGCAATCCACTGCGACTGTCGCTTCTCCATTTTCATTCGGCCCAGTTATCCGAGTTTCTCATTCCTCCTTCACCCCTCTGTCTTACTATTCCTTTCACACTCCCTCCTGCTGTTGATAGAATCCACCCTTTCTGTTTACCCTATACTCTTTTCTCAGTCCCTTTCTTTGACTCCTTTTTGGCTCCCAATATTTCCCGATATGTTTCTTTTTCCTCCTCTCATTGTTTGACTTGAGACTTGAGATCCTGCTTTATTTTTCTTTTTGTTCTTGACTTCCCTTCTGTCACTCCCATTTTCATCAACCCCTGTTTGTTCCCTCATACGTGAAGCGGAAGCCTTCTGAGGTTACTGCATAAGGGGCAGCAAGGCGGACCCTACCTCATTTTCATTCATTTTTGCATTCTCTGCTCTCGTTTCGATCCTTGACGGTCAAAGTCTTCAACTCTCCTCGTTAATAGGTTCTGGAGACCTTACTGGAACATGTGTCGAAATGTAAAGCCTCTCCAACTACACATACTTGGCAAAAAGGATTCTTGTTGTTTTCATGCGGAAACTTCTTCTTTTTAACCTAGTTAGACCATGGATGTTCTGGGGTTAAAACGGAATGTATCTCCACCAGAAGGCAACTGAGCATGTGAGTAAATAAAAGCTGTTGTTTGATATCATTGCCCGTCATTACCAATGTTTCCTACTTTGTTGTTTACCATGTCTATTTTTCATCTTTTTCCTCCATGCTGTGCTGCTGCACTCCCCTTTTTTGTTCCCACTCTTTTCCCTATGACTTCCCCACGTATTGCCCAGTGTGGCACCTGGAAAAGAAATCGAACTTTGTCCTGGTAGTCTGTGTTCTCTTGCAAGTACCTGGGGCATAAGCTGTACAAGAAATGTTCCAATTACAAGCCAGTGTGAATCATAGTGAGCACACTCCAGATCTAGAATTCATACCAAAAACATATCAAAACTGTAACAGAATATGTCCTGACTGTGGCTTCCAAGGGTCTTAGAGGATTTCCGATGTCTGAAAGTTCACATGAAGGTATGTGACTAATTAATGGCATGCCACGCTCAAATAACTGATAGTCACCTTCCCAGGTTGGTCCTGTAAGAAAAATGTCTGCCCAGAAGGGTCACTTGTAGAGCTCTTCTTTCTTCTTTTTCTTTGCGGCCTTTTTCGCAATCTTTCGAGCATCTATTGCATCCTCGGTTCAGTGCCCGATGCGAGCAAACATTTTTTCGAAACGTTCATTGATACCTGGTTCCTGCTTTGCTGAGTCCCAGGGCGCGCAACTACATCTAAAATGTCAAAAGCATTGAGCAGCAAATGAGATGTTGCCAAATGATGTTGGATATGATACATGCACGTTAATAATACAACATGTCTATCTGGTAATGGATATGCTGATACGCTGCATGCAAACCATACACTGATGCTCGATGATGCCGGGCACTGCTGCCAAGCTTCTTGACGCCTTTTCATGGAGCTATGAACGCTGGATCCAGAGCCCATGGTTTCAGCAGTATCACTTCACCATGGACGTGGATAGACAGGGTGGCTACACCACTACTCCAAAACGCCCGGCAGACCCAGGTTGGGGGGAATGATGTCTATTTGCACCCCAGTCTCTACAGTCAACTTGGTGCTGTTCATGCTGAGTTGTGGCTTCCTGTCTGCAGTGGAATAGGTTGAGATACGTATATATAATTCAGTGTTTCCTTACCTCAAGAGACCATCGCTGTAAGACTGTAAGATGCAAAAAAAAGATGTCAAACAACTGCAACCTGCTGCAAAGCATCATATTGTCATAAAATCTGGATTCATGTGCATCTATATCTCCGACGATTCCAACGGTTCTGCGGTGAAACACTCGCGCGATAGCTTTCAACGCGCAAGCTTAAGCTGAAACTGCGACAGCAGAAATCCACGTCAAGTTCTGCACACGAATTGCTGGGGTGGGCAATTTGAGAACGTTGTTTGTTGAAAGTATTGCTCCCTTCTGGTTGCATGATCCGTGCCGCAACAAGTCACAACTACATCATGAGTTGACAGTGGTGATATTTGAACATGAAAACTCGCTCCAGTGATCGTGACGTGATTCCTCATGATTAATTCACGATCACTTCAGACACATGACCTTATTGAACCGCAGACAGAAAATGCTCTGAGCTGTGAGCTTGCACAAGCCTCTTCCCTTCAAAAAGTCAGGGCCTCATGTCCCGCCGCTGCCATGGAGACAACATGAGACAACTCTGGACTCAACAGGCTGGGAGGCCGCACAATCGCAGCTAGGGCGGGTTCCAATGTCGACAGTGTACACCTTCAAGTCTCACTCCGGAGATGGCACAAAAACCCGTAAGATCTGTAACATGTGTGAGATGTGCAATTCAGTCGTTCAGTATATCGAACTAAAAATGATGTCTTGAGTCTTGACCAATGGAAACATAATGGAAAAATAATGAAAAATCAACAGCAAGGAACACCCAAGGAACCCA